TTTTAAATATTTTTTTTTTACATGTATTGAATCCCTTATTTTTGGCACTAAACAGTCTATGCCCTGTCTACCATACGAAACGTAATATATCATACTAAATGTGGTGTCTCAATTTACGTACAGAATAAAACGAAATGCTCTGATACCAGGTTGCAGCACTAGGTCTTTGGTGACTTGGATCTATTATGTTTGCTCTCTTTTGTTTTTGTTAGATTTTATTTTTGTTTTCTTACAATACAAAAACATACATAGACAACGACAATAGACAACTTAACATGTATGTACATTAATTTCTACAAGCACTAATGACATCACATTTGCTCAGACCCACATGTTCCCACCGTATCCACACCCATCCTTTCCATCTCACAATAATATTGTTTGTTCTCTATGGCGCTTACTGACTTCTCTCCATAGGTTTACGCACATCTTATTAGTGCTACCTTTCGATTGATTTGATATAAAATAATGCAGCCTAGTTGATAGCCTTCATATGGTTTTCATTGCTAATAATGGTGAAAAATGTAATGGTGGTAATATCTGCTTTCTATAGCCTATAGAGTTATTCCAATAAATAAGTGTTGTGACACTTAAGCCTACGCCTCTCGAATTTTTAAAGACTATTTAAGTAGTTGCATACTGATGCTGTCAAGCAAAAAACCAGATACACAATCCACTGGTCCTTTGTTAACGATATTTCATTGACTGCTGGAGAAGAAGGGAGTCACTAATACAAAAAGTGAAAGCAAGCAACCCAGGCAACCATGATGTTGGTTATATTTGTGTAAAGGCTATCAGTGATTGACGAGGATTAGAAAGAGTTAAGGAGATTATCTCGCACATTCAACTGCCCCCCCCCCCCCCCCCCCCCCCCCCCCACACACACACCCCCCCCCATATGCATTTCAAAATCAAGCCCCACAAAAAGTAGCAAACATAGAAAGAAGTGTGTGCAATAAAGCTCATCGTACCAAATGTGGAATATCAATTTTGTGAAGCAATTATTTTATTTTTAAGACACGTTTACTAAATAGGCTAAGTTTTAGTTTTGATAGGCCTGATGATATTGCGTAGTTTGCTCTTTAACACATTAATTATATTTATATATAACAAACTTAGAGAAGTTGATACTTGGACCAGCTCGAGCATGCTCAAAATGGACTAAACCAAGCGAGCCATCCTGAAGGCAGTTTTAAAGGGTGAAAGACTTGACAACGACTAATTGCAATTAACTACGCCATTGTACCCCGCCCTTGTCCGTTTAAATCGACACTTTCAACGTCCATATATCCTCTAGGGTACCGTGGGAATGTTCATAATTAAAAATCAGAATTATGGATTTCTGAAGTTACCGGGTGAAAGCCCGCAAGCTTTCAAGGTCAGGGTGTCACTGTCAATGATGCGGTCTACGGGTGCGATCGTCCCCTCACCCCGGCACCCTGCTCCTCAGACGGAGAGGAGAGGCTGCATCTTTCCGCCCCGGCGAGCGGGCACAGGGGGGCGAAGGGAGGAGGCCACCACACTGCTCTAGTCTACATTAGCGTGTGCATCCCCGACTCAGAACACCTGCTTCGTTCCCGACTACTAAAGGGCGATGGGAACCGCTGTCTCTGTCTGTCACACAGCTCTGGTAGATGAGGGGGATGCCCAAACGGTCTACCGTTGACAAAATCCATAACTCAACCTCTCTCTCAATGATAATCGATCGACATTCGTTTTAGGCAATACTAGTAACAACACATTTGCACATTCATAAACTCAACAGGTGCACATTCAATTGTGCTCAAAGCTCTACCCAAAGAACATTTGGATAAGGCTATGTGGAGTTGACAAAAGCAGCTCAATTTAACAAAACCTATTAAACACTTTATAAATATGTTAAGTAGCCTATAAAGAGAAAGTTGCACCTATTGGTAAATGTGCACTAAAACATCCGAGACGCAGCAATCAGATAGAATGTAAAGAGATATAGAGAGAATCGTTCAATAGCCATGCACAACACCCCTTATTAATTCACAGAAATATACAGCGCTGTGTTTTCTTTCCACTCCCAGTTACCTCTGCGCGAGCCTTTGGAACTCTTACTTCACTTGCCTCAGAGCGAGCCCCCCTGAGTCGGGTGACGTCATGCTGGCACACAGGAGTTGGGAGTAGAAAGCAGGGACAAGCTAAGTGGGTGAAGGAAGTGGAGTTCTCCACCCTCCGCCTTCTCTGACACTTCTCATAAATATTACTAAGCTTTCATCTAACGACTCACAGCAGAAAGTCACCTCTGCTTCGGTCTTGAACAAGCATTATTTTACCAGTCGTTGTTGATAAGTTAAGAAGAGCATTGTTTTTTGTTGGTTTAGACTATTTGTGTTCGGTGGCTTCTGGACTCACTGGGTAGACAGTCCGTCTGTTTTGGTGCGCCGCTACGGCAGTTTTCTACCCAACTTTGTGCGCCTTGTTGCGCTCGGTGCACCGGAGGAGCCGTTGCCACTCGCCCGGTGTAGACGGCTCTCTATCCGGCTATCGCGCTGCTGTCCACTCAGCCAGGACCTTGTGAAACTCAACGTCCAAGACTTGCAGATACTCCAAAATCCATCTTGATAGCTGGAATTTGGTAATCCTGGGAAAATATCGAGTTGGGCGACTCAGGAGTCAGGACATTACATAAATCTAATGGTTTCAGCGAAAACTGTAGATTTCATGTTTTGATATTTTTCAGCTGATGCTTTTGCATAGGCAGAGGAATTTGATTCTGAAAATATAAAATAAACGACAGTGTCCACGATGAGCAAACCGGCGGGTTCAACAAGTGGGTGTTTGGATATTCTGAATGTTAAATCAAGTAAGCATGCTAAAGTTTATATTTCTTCTTAAACTATGATTGGTTATTAAGGTATTTATAATTGTTATAATTCAAACATGTATTCATCGAAAAGTAATAGGATATTATGTGAAAGGCGTTGAAACAATCCGAAATGAAGTCTTCGACAATTTGCGTTTACCTTGGAGTTGCTGTAGGATACATCTGGTAACCCGTCTTATAACTTAAACTATGAAGTCGATTTTGTACAATAATTGTGCATGTTCTTAGGCCTACTTAAAATTGCTTTTTTTATTTTCCAATGTATTTCATAAGAATGGTTCTAGGCCTAGCCTATCCACGAATAAGACTAAATTGAGCGCTGGACCACGTTTTGAGTTCTAGGCCTACACTTCTTCCTTTTCCAGTTTAATTCCAGTTATTTGTTGTTGATAAGTACGGCATTATTCTCTCATAAAAAGAACACTGCATCTTTCTGCTTGGGGTGCGATGTTTATTTCTAAAAAGATGAGGAAAGGTTAAACATGTAGGCATAAATGTTCCTGAAACACCCAAACTATCATGACGCTGAAAATAATGTACGTGAAAGAGACATAAACTATATCGAGGTAGGCCAATGGGCCACTATTGGCATGATAGCCCAAAAGCTAATTTATTGATAAACAATTGTGTTGATTATGTCTATTTGTCAATCTCTGTGTGTGTGTGTTTGACAGGCCAAATATTTCTTTCCAGACTGATTTTAAAACGGCATACACTAATAATTTGCCCTTGCATTTTGTTTAAATTATTTATGTTCTATGGTTGTAAAAATTGCAGGCCTTGTTGGGACTTTGTTCATCATAAATTAAAGAAAACATTCAAATTCTGGATTTCGAGAAACTATAAGGAATGTTTACATGTGTGTGCAAATAACTGGAATAATGAGACAATAACAGGTAGCCTATATTCTATATTCTGTAGCCTAATACATTTATTTTTGTTATTGCGTTAAGTGTTGCTAAACTGCATTAAGCACGTCCAAACGAAATATGCCTATAACGCATATAGGTTATTATTCGTTTTACCAATGCCTGGTTGGTTGCTATTTTGGCCTATTCGCATAGGCCTTGGCAAATCTCAGGCAGCAATCTACAAGTATTCACTTTTATACAGCTTTTAAATTAGAGTAATTCACAATGGTTGTAGCCAAATATTGCATGCTTTCCTCCTAGTTCATTGCACACATTGTGGGTGGTCACAAAAACATTTCCCTCAGTCAGTAAAACTCAGTCTAACTTCTTTCAGCAGGTTTTGGGGTTGATGGTAATTACGGTAATGGAATATGCCATATATCTTTAAGCAATTACGGCACACAATGGCGACGACTGGAACCCCTATTGAGAGAAGTTAAAGACGTGTTCCCCCCGCACACCTTTATCAAGCTTCATTTTTATTATATTACATTTTCGCCCAACAGCTTTATGGGAAATTTGCCCGTTATTAATGCGTAATTATAATTGTCTAACGAGGACAATGCGATATTGGATCCATTCCTTATGTGATGCTTACGCCTACTTCTAGGCCCAATTAGGCTATCGCCCAACTTGTATTGATTGTTTCAAAAGTTTATACAGTATATATTTTTTTAACGAATAGTTTTGAGTAATTTTGTTTAGGCCTATTTATTCTTTTTTGTTGTAGGCCTAGCCATGGCATCAAATATTTGAGATGCATGCTGGATTTTCAAGCCTTTATAAAACCACGTGATATAGAAATGTAATAGCCAACGACTTCTTTGTTACCCTTTGCATAATTGGTGTATTGAAGTCCCAACTCCGCGCCGAAGTCGATTGTTTTTGCTGCTCTGTCGTTATGGGGTCGTATCCGAATTCCCATGCTACCCTTTTTGACGGGTCACTGCATGGTGAATCAATGAGCAGGTGGCAAAACGTCAGTGTAATTACATAGCCTTCTTTTCCCTCCATAAAAAAGACTCCCTCATATACATACAAATATACTTCTTTTAAATAGATTTGAATAAAAACTCTTTACAGAAATCACTTTTTTTCATTTACTCCGGGGTCGATTTACATACACTTCATTTGAGTTGGTGAAACGAGTTGGTGCGCATTATTCTCGGTGCCGTGTCACTCCCTAATCCGCAGGCCTACAGACCTGCGGGATAAAGCAGCTGTCGAGTCCCATTATGAGGGGGAGTTGGCAGCTTGTCGAGATCGGGTCAGTCAGACGAGGTTCAATGGGGAAAATCATTAAGTTAACACTTTCCCTAATGTCTCCATTGTGTGCCCCCGGGCATTGTCTTTAGAGACCTCAGATATGACGCTTCCCACAACCGAACTCACAAGAAATTTGCGGGTGCATTCCCATGGCCGGACGGCCTATGAAGACACTGTACACTGTCCGTTGTCACGTTACTGTGTGTTTTGTTTTGTCTTCCTTTAAAAGGGAGGGAGGGGTGATGAGGAGGAGGGGTACAGTGCATGAGTTTGGATGCAGAATTTATTCAGATGGGTGCTCTTTCCAAGCGTAAAACACCGTTCTGATTCTTGATCTTGAGGCACAACGTACATTAACTTTTGAAATAAACAAAGATAAATTCATTAATTTGTATTTATTTTATCCAGGTCGTATCTTGGATATCCCGTGTAAAGTGTGTGGGGACCGGAGCTCTGGGAAACACTATGGCGTGTACGCGTGTGACGGCTGCTCTGGCTTCTTCAAGAGGAGCATCCGCAGAAACAGAACATACGTCTGTAAATCAGGTTCTCAGGTAATAGGCCTAACTACAGTGTTTTTCCAATTTAATGTTAAACCTATTTCATATTCAGGGGGTGACTTTATCCTAAATGTATCCAAACATGACGCACACATTGGGCATTTTACGCACGGTCATGTTGCATCTTTATTGGCCAGACTTGAGTCTGCAGGGTTAAATCTCTGCTGAGACTTGTCTCTGTGAACGGCCAGCCACCCAGGGCACGGCAAGGCCTAATTACATCGCCACCCAAGGCCATTGACTGGCGCTAAGCACAGTCCTGCTTTAATGTATCAGGTGTAATCCAATCTAATGTAATGACACTAACCCGAGGATTTAGCCAACAGTGGGCGGAATAGCCCTACTTATCCTCGGAGATGAGACCGCTGCTGAGCCGCGGGGGATCGAGTCAATAGCTCTGATAATAACACATCCTTCACCTGTAGAATGGCGTCCCAAGAAAATAACTGTTTAAAGGTCCAATGCAGCCGTTTTTATCTCAAAATCAAACAATTTCTGGGTGACAGTTAAGTACCTTACTGTGATTTTTTTCAATAAAAATGGTCAAAAAGAAACAAAAATAGCTTGTTAGGAAATAGCAATTCCTTAAGCAAGAATTTGCTAGGACCGTCTGGGAGTGGTCTGAGTGGGAGGGGAAAACTGAAAACTATAGCTGTTATTGGCAGAGAGGTTTGGAACTCTCTTTCTTATTGGTCTATTAACTAATTTACTGACTGGTGATATCACCAGGCAGGCCAAAACTCCATCCCACCAAAACAATACTATTTTCAAGCTCTTATAGTAAAAGGGCATTATCATAATTATCACAATTTCACAGTATTATTCCAACCGCATGGTGTGGAAATATATATAAAACACATGAAAATCACGTTTTTGAGTGCACTGGGCCTTTAACAACCATTCTCTTCTCCCTCAAACACCGTGTTCCTTTTGTCATTCACTCACTGTGCCAGGGCCTCCTTTCCCAGAGCCTTCGTAGTGTTAAGATCATCGTTAGAACCATCATACATTATGAATTATCTTTAGCAGCCGATCTGTTTTCCAGAGTCTTCGTTAGTAACGTTGCTCTTAAAAACATTCCCAAATATACGAGTGATCCAGACCACTCGTAGAGCAGCCAAAGTGCAGCATTATATGTTTTTTGCCCTTCCGCGTAACTTTATTCACAAAAGATCTCCGCTAAACATAGAATCAAGATGTTTAGGCTAAGTATATCTGTCTGACTGTGACCGCCGATAACTTCAGAACGAAGTTGACTACAAATACAAAGTTGCCAAAGTACTTGCAATTGTTGCAAACAAGTGAAAGATAAAACGATGCCTCAAATGAAATCAGAGATGACTGCATTAAAAGATAAATAGGCTACATGGGCCTATATATTTAAATAATATTTCAATCATACTGAGTTTTATTTTGCCACTAGGCTACTGTCTGTAATTTTTGCCTCAATATGTTTAATGATGTGTGACAAGATGCATTATTATTGGGTAAGCATAATAAGCCGCTTCAATATTTGCAGCCATAGATGGTAATATCTCTCTAGGAGCTGATCCGTCGTCAGTATTGTGGAATAATTCTAATGTTAAGGTAAGATTTGAGTAGAGAAGTCTGATCCGAGAGCAGCGTTGCTTTTCTTTAGCAGTATCGACACATGGTTTAATGACACACTTAGTGAACGTTCTCTCAACGTGCTTGTTTGGGAAACGCCCATAAAAAGTTGCCTCGTAAATAACGATGCAACTGGTAGGCTACGATCATCGTAATGCTTAATTTACATCCCAACTGGGAAACGAGGCCCAGAGCAATTAAACTGAGCTGTGATTCTCTCTCTCTCTCTCTCTCTCTCTCTCTCTCTCTCTCTCTCTCTCTCTCTCTCTCTCTCTCTCTCTCTCTCTCTCTCTCTCTCTCTCTCTCTCTCTCTCTCGCTCTCTCGTTTCCATTATAGGGAGGATGCCCCGTGGACAAAACGCACAGAAACCAATGCCGAGCGTGCCGTTTGAAAAAGTGTCTCGAAGTGAACATGAATAAAGACGGTAATAGGCTTAATTTAATTATTATTTTGGCTATACGCCGGCAGTGACATTTCGGTGTGAGGTGATCAAATCGGATGGAAAAGTGTATTTAACGTAATCAGCTGAGAGCGGGGTAAACAGAGGACGTATTCATAACATTCTCATAAGAGGCAAAGCCTTTTACCTCACCGTGCTTCGAACAAAATAAGAACTTTGATAAATAAGGCATTCACAGACGAGTAGGCCTAGTTTAATAAAGAGTATTGTCCCTGCTCTCCAATTTGACAGCGGTTCAGCACGAGAGGGGTCCCAGGACGTCCACCATACGCAAGCAAGTCGCCCTATATTTCCGGGGGCACAAAGAGGTGAACGGTTCATCTACCCACTTCCCGGGCTCGAGCCTACCTGGCCCGCCGTTTTTCACTACGGTCACGCAACTGGAGCCACATAACTTGGAAATGAGCACGGTAGCCAGCACGCCAGAGAGGCAGGCCATCGTTGGACTGGCCCAGCCCACCCCGAAGGTAAGCCCCTGTCCTCGGCTCACCCTTCACTCACGGAGCTGCGCTATGTGCCCAATGAATCAAGGAGGCCAACCAAGCACGTTGGAAAAACAACATGCTTCTTTCTCAACTTTTAAGAGGTTTAGAAGTTGACATTCCGGTCCCGATTCAGCAGCTTCGAGTCACACAATACGTAATTCATATTTTCCCCTCCATCCAACGCAGGCAACATTAGTTTATAATTAGACCAAAAGCTTAATCTAGTGTTTGTGTTTAGAGTTTTATGAGATGCACACATATTTGTCTCAAATGTGGCAGCAGTGTATTTGATCACGTTATTTATTAGTCCTATAGCACATCATTTTATTCAAATGGCACCCCGAGGCCCTATGTGTTTATATTGACCTCTTGCATTGCAGTACCCTCACGAGGTCAGCGGCACGCCCATGTACCTCTACGAGGTCGCTACAGAGTCCGTGTGTGAGTCAGCCGCGCGCCTGCTCTTCATGAGCATCAAGTGGGCCAAGAGCGTGCCCGCCTTCTCCACGCTCCCCTTACCTGACCAGGTAAGCCACTATTCAGTATGGATATTATAGGATAGATATTAGCCAATAAGTTACATTATTAAGCGATCCCTTTCCAAAAATAAAAGTTGCAATTGTATTGGCCTAAATAAATTAATCAAATAATATAACTAATGTGTGCAAACCTTAATTCCCTAACAATATTTTCTTAGAAGTATATTAGGCATGCTCATTGTGCGGCGCTGACTGAGGTTTGTAATCTGTTTTGCAGCTGATCCTGCTGGAGGACGCCTGGAGGGAACTGTTTGTTCTGGGCATAGCGCAGTGGGCCATTCCGGTGGACTCCAACACCCTGCTCGCTGTTTCCGGTATGTAACCCATATGACCAATCAACAGGTTAACTAGATTTAACCTATTAGACTTAGGCTACTTACTATCATGTTTCGTTTGATTATTTTCGTTTCGATTCCTTGGGAGTTAACTGTGGCGTTGGAAAGAAAACGAAAATAGAGACAGATTTTCCATTCCTTTTCCGTTTTTATAGATATTCATATCATACTCAATAAAATGTAACCCCCCCCCCCCCCCCCCCCCCTCCCCCCCATATATTTGAAGGTATGAACACAGACAACACAGAGTCCCAGCGGTTGAATAAGATCATCTCAGAAATACAAGCCCTGCAGGAGGTCGTTACTCGCTTCAGACAGCTGCGTCTGGACGCAACCGAGTTCGCCTGCTTGAAGTGCATCGTCACGTTCAAAGCTGGTGAGTTGAAGAGGGGGTCATCAAAAATTATATTAAAATAAATGATCCTCACTAAAATCACAAGAAGGCAGGGTTGGGTTAATTTAATTTGAATTGCAGTCAATTCAGCAATTAATTGAAATGTCCAATTCCAATGATCTTCTATGCTTTTTAATAAGAAACATTTGGAATTGAAATTTGGTTTACTTTCTGAATTGACTGGAATTTAAATGGAATTGTCCCCAACCCTGCAAGGTCACCAATAGTTTAAAAAAAAACTAAATAAATAGCCAAGGATGTTCATGCCAAAAAACGAAATAGAAATGCTTTTTTTCCCCTTCACATTTCAATGCAGATGTCTGAAGTACTTTGACCATCAATATGAACATGTCTATTGAAAGTTATGCATTTGTCAGGTGCATGTGAATATAATGTCAGTCATTAACCATATTGTCTGTGCCTTTTCCCTTCAAGCTGTGCCAACGCATGGCGGGTCAGAGTTGAGGAGTTTCCGCAATGCCAGTGCCATTGCTGCACTACAGGATGAGGCACAGCTCACCCTAAACAGTTACATACACACCAGGTGAGACATTTGATAAAAACGAACAGTTTAGAAATGATTGATTTCTTAAGAGATATGCAGACACTTGTTTAATTCAGCTATTTGTTCAATTTACCAAAATACTTGGCACACAAGTGGCCAGCCAATATGGGCATATTTCTGTACAGTAGGCTATTATGCACAGCAAGATAGGCTTCCCTGCAAACAAAAATGAGTTTTTAGGACGTCTCCAGAATGTCACGAAATGGTCACCTAATGTCATCAAGACGTTGTCCCATGGTCCTGTGGAGGTTTTGTCTAGTTTCTGGTTTGTTCCGGGGACGTCCCCAAGGTTGTTCTCAGGACGTTCTCAGGACATTGTGTCATTGCCCTGTGGATTTTTGGGTTCTAAAACCATTATTTGGTCAACAGTAATGTGCATTATCTTGATCCCTGCACTGAAAGTATATGCACTATCCCTGTTTCGCTCCTGGCTTTCACTCCCTCTCCCTCTGTGCCCACGAAGTAGGGGGAGAGATGCATTCTGATTAGTGCTGAGCGATTAACCGAAATGTCAGTTCTTTTTTGGTTTTTAAACAACTAATTGACCGACGTCGGTTAAATGATTTGAATTCCATTTCGTTCGTTTATTTTAATGTCAGCTCAATGAGCACATTGCTCTGCTTTTTCTCTAGAGATAAAGCAGATCATATGCCCGAACTGTGCGATGTAGTAGGGAGTTGTAGTTTCCAATACGCCAGTGTTCTACATAGTTTAGCACAGGACATTTTATAATTAACTACAACGACCATAATCCATTGCACGGCTTAACTTGTCCCGTCTGTGTTTCTTTTACGCCTGCTACAAGTAAGACACAGAAGAATATGTGATCAAGAGGGGATACATAGAGAGTAGTTTCTTCGCTAGGTATCTCTACCTGGAAATACATGATCTAAGTGATTGATAGTTGGTATTCAGAAGTCATAAAAGTATGCTTTATTTATTTTGAAGAACTACTCAAATAGTGACAGCATAGACAGCAGCTCTATAGAGAGGAGATGATGACTTGGAATGAAATAATAAAGTCATCAAATAAAACAAATGTAATATACACAACAACTGAAATAATTTTGTTTCTCTCTGTCGCCCACGTTCTTAAAATCTTTAGATAATAAAGCATTTGACCTTTCTATTATGTGAACGACGGAGGATTGGTTGATTTCCAGTTTTTGAGTCTAACTTTTTAAAAGATAATTGATGAGAAGAGTATTGTCCAACCCATCGAGTATCTCACTGCACCCTCATATGTCATGTCTTGAAATATACAGACAGACTAATTAAAAGTACATTTGCACTGCAATACTTCTGACATCCATCTGTCCAACTCCGCCCATAACTTTTGAATTTTGTAACATTTCGAGAAGGCATGAATTTAGCCTTGTGTCAGTATAACATGTATTTGATCAACTCTCAATCTTGAGCAAATGGCATCACTTTACAACCGAGTATGTAGGCTAATATGGTTTTGAGATGATGCACCCACAATGAATACATCAAGTAGCCTAGGCCTACAGACGGAAAGTTTTGGTAGGACATTACATTTACTGATAGATTAAACAACTACAACGCTATCTAGCAACAAGATAACATTTACAGTAAGCAATCTAGCTAATGTGTTTTGAGTTCCCACTTCCTCAGGTGGTGAATTGTGTAGCATATAGGCTAGCCTAGGCCAATATGCACAAAAAATATGTAGGCAAATTAATCACTATAGAGCCCTAAAGAAATCGGATCATTTTGAATCTCATTTTGACAGGTGGCACATGAAAATATCAATAATGCATTCCTTGGAAATGTTAGATGAAATAGCTAACTTATTTATTGAATCATACCAAATCAGTTGAATAAAACTTGGTCTAGAGCTCTGCCGCTAATGGAAAGTAATTGTGATATGACTTTTTGTCCATATCACCCAGCTCTATGAGAACATCCTAAAAACATACTTGATGACATCCCGATCCCCACAACTAACGGGGTAGGAACTAGACAGACCCCTATTGGGGACCATGACACAAAGTCTTGCGTGAGCAAACTAGGACCTGTATGAAACATCCCTGTGTGGTCATTGAATGTCATGAGAACCTCATGTCAGAGCCAAACAGGGATGTTCCCTAATGGTCATTCAAATACTTTATTGTAACCTTCTGTCGGTAGCAGACCAGGACCTGTACTGGATGTCCCCTAGAGTTGTCCTGAATATAACGTACCATTGGAACAACCCGGGGACCTTTTTGTAACGTACCCTAATGATCATGCTGCGACCTTATTGTAACGTTTTGTCTGTAACAATCCAGGACCTGTCTGAAACATTCCCTTGCAGTTATTGAATGTCCCAAGGATGATGTCCTGTCAAAACCAAATAGGAACCTATTTGTAACGCTTCCTAGTGGACATCAAAATACTTTATTTTAACGTTATACTGCGACCAAACCGGGACCTGTACTGAACGTCCTCTTATGGTCCCGAGGTTAACGTCATGTTTTGTTGTTCCTATAATGTTCAAAGAACGTCAGTGCGAAAACATCTTGCCGAAACCCTAAAAGGGACCCAATGGGAACGTCGCCTAATGTCCTTAGGATGTTCCGTTTGCTGGGTACTTGGTCAATTCATATAAACAGTTACATGCAAGCAAAATGTTCAGGGAGTCACTGTGCAATTAGAAAATAAAGTCACAAACGAAATGTAAAGGCAATGAAATAATTGCATCTTTCTTGTTTTTGTTATTGCAGATATCCAACTCAGCCCTGCCGCTTTGGGAAGCTGCTCCTGCTTCTACCAGCTCTGCGGTCAGTCAGCCCGTCCACCATAGAGGAAGTATTTTTCAAGAAGACCATCGGGAATGTGCCCATCACAAGGCTCCTGTCTGACATGTACAAATCAAGCGATATATGAGTTTATTTCCGCCATTTCGAGTGTCTGCGAATGCTCACAGACACAAATGTTCTAATGAGCACATGGCAAGTTGAACTTTAAGAACAGAAAAAAAATCATTCCTCTTATTGAAGACTGTAAAACAGCTTGATTTGACCAAGTAGAACAATCATCTTTGGGGTAGGCTTACGTTTTGAGGATGTAATTTCCCTAATAGAATTGCCTAGCCAATTTAAGTAGGTTAGAATTTCACAAAATACTGCAATCTCTGGTTATCACAAAATAAGGATAATCTTCAATTGTAAAGACTTTTACAGTGGAATGAGCCATCTGTCCGTAATTGATGAACCTTTAAAAACGTGGAGATGTTTTTGAGTGTCTCTAAGACCAATGAGCTTTACAACAAATGCCCTTTCAATCTTTTATTGCATTGTTCAATCTGAGCGAATGGAAGAAACCAAAAAAGATTACTCGCAGCTCAAGCCACGGTCAGATGTGATATGGGTCGCACTTGACCCAGTGCTGAAACCAAAGGCCGTGGAGTGTCACAACTGCTGAAGAGGAGGCACCATCTCCTCAAGATGGGACAACGCTGACTGTTCTCCACAAGCTCGTGTGATGATCCCATACACTCAGAGGATTGAGAGGAACGAGCACATCAGGGCCCATAAAAAAAACAACTATCTGGATTTCGCCTATCGGATAGGATTAAATGTATAGAAATAGAATTAATAGAACGGGAGTCCCCATTCAAGTCTGATTCGTCTGTTCTATTAAATATATTTCTATGCATTTAATTCTACTGAATAGGGGGAAACTATATATACATATATATATATATATATATATATATATATATATATATATATATAAACAATTTAACTGGGCCCTGAGGACTTGACATATGCTGTTTTAAGCTCTCAAATTGAGAAATAAAACGAGTAATTGGAATGTGCAGGTTTCTATGTTCAAGGCTGAGTGAAATGTCGCCTGTTTGTGTTGGCGTGTCATTAAAATGAGTACTTTGTGAAGTTAGACACTAACACTGGAAAAAAATATTCAGCACTTGGATTTTTGCTTTTGGCTGTAAATATTTTTCTCTGTTGTACAAAGTGGGAGTTATAATTTTGTGAGAGTTGTACTGAAATATATTAGAATAATAAATGATATTGAATTATAGGCGTCCCAAATTGTCATTGAGTTACCCCTATGCCACGACGTTTGTTAAATTGATTGTTTTCTTTTCACTAAATCTGCTATCCAGCTTTTTCGGGTATATGGCAGTTTTGGATTCCAAAATCACGTGAATGTGAACCAGAGAGAAGGGTACAATTCCCTGAAACCCCAATGAGAACAAATGCCATGGGTTTTAAAGTTAGACTGCAGTAGAGTGCATATTGAGTCATGCCCTAGATGAGACCTTGGGAGAATCTGTAGCAATAACACATTGGCTCAGGGGTTTCAAGTGTTGTCCAATGAATCAAGTGCTTTATCGTTAAATTGGCTTTCATAATGATGAAAAAAAAAAGTACCGTTGACATCATTAGTGGCGATCAATGTCGTTCAATCCAATTAAAGTGGAGAAAAACAGGGTTCATAGGGAGTTTGGTGTACAGCAGGTTGCCATTGGCAGCGGGACCTAACATCTGTATATCAGAAGCAGCATGGACCAAAATGTGTGTGTATTCACTGAAATCTTTATTCAGGAAAAACATGACAACGCATCATCACCTCATGCGTATGAGTGCTTTTGACCAGTTTTATTGAAAAACTTTCAAAATAAACAAAATGGCACAGCAGTATACAAACGTCATAAACGCACATGCACAGTCAGTCGGTAGAAAAATGCTGTGGGGTTCCCCTCTGTGGTGCATTTTTTCTCATTAGAAAATAATTTACAGGCTAGTGCTGGCTGGTAGTACACACTGACGGTGGGTACAAGACAACTCGGAACGCTCCGATTTAAGTGCATTCATGACAACTGGGAACTCTGAAAAAAGCAAACTCCGAATGGATTTTTTAATTATTTTAATGGTCATCCAACTCAGAATTACCAGTCGGAATCTCTGGCATTATCCTAGAGCTCCGACTTCTCCGACCTGAAGATCACTGACGTCATGATCTTTCAGGGACCATCGAACAAATTGTGATTTTCAGAGTCAGGGATCATCTACAAAGTGTGTGAAGTCACAGTTATGGTGGTGAGGACAATCATTCCAATTGGACATTGAGTGGAAACAACAGTGCGTAATGTATGGGGTTTAAACATGAGGTTTGCATACATGGAAAGGTATTTTTTAATATTTCTTTAAAGTAAAAATATCCAAGACATACCTAACTGATAAATACAGATAACATAATGTAAAATACCCAAGTTAGTGGCATTTAGAGACAAAACCGATTATAAATAATTTTCAACCACAGTTATTACATTGGGACCATTTCTTAGTTTGATCCAATCGAGAGTTGAAAACCAGCAATACATGAGATCACTAATCAAACGGAAATAAAAGACAAAGAAAGGGATTGCAAATGAAAGAAGAGTGAAGAAGATCATAAGTGTTTTTGGTCAGAGCAGAGCAGGGCCGTTAGCAGTAGAGATTAGAGCTTTGGGTTGTGGGCCGGAAGTGGCCTGGGCCGAGTGGTGGTCCTGCTCTTAGGCTTGTCGTATTTTGGAGGGGGTATAGGTCTTGTCCACAGACTCATCCTGTAGAAACATGTGCAGACAGCGCTCGTTCTGAGCCAAAGGGTGACCAGCCACTCTGAAACACAAGACAGGGAGAGACACAGAGGTTATGAATACTTAGCTTATGAATACATGTTGTTGTTACAGTCTGTCTGACAGGCTACAAAGTACATGGTAACAAAGAACCCATTTTGTACATACATTTTGTCCTGGAAGAAATCTCAATACAATCCTTGACCATAATTACTTCCTTACTTATTCCTCTTCGTTCTTATGTGGAACATAAGGCTTCCATGAGAGAGCATGACCATAACGGGACAGTAACTGTGAAAAGTGTTGTCAAAAGGGTAGCAAAACGTGCCCGCATTTTCAGCAGGTTTGTTTTCAATTTTTTCAATGTCCAAACGGTCAGATCAGGTGCATTTTGGAAGACCACTGACCTATGTCTGATGGTCATTGAGAGGGAACAGGGAGCACTTTCACTAAAAGTTATTTAAAAAAAATCTCCATGTTACATCTGGAGCAGGAGAATTTGATTAAGAGCAAAGGATTGAGAACATGCTGATAATTACCATTGAGGTCAGGGAGAGGAAGAGGGATGGAAGCAAAGCAAAGGGAAAGACAGACCAGTTTTCCATGACTGATGTACTCTCATCATCCTCTCAGCTACGGTCTCAAATGAAAAATATTTCTGAAGGCCAAGCATGACCCCAAGGGTTCACGTACCGGTCAAACAACAGAAAAATTATGGAGGATTTGAGGAGGCTTCCATTTGCCATCAAATGAGCAAGTTGAGCCCCCCCACCCCGACACTCCATGACTCAATCAATTTATTTTTTTTACAGCGTTCAATTAAACTATATTTCACCTGGCCACTGATCGCACCCAACCCTGTCCCCACTCCTCCATCCCAAGTCTGATTACAAATCTCACCTTTCATTTTTGAACAATATGGCCAACCAATTTCCTTCCAAACTTCACTGTGCTGTTCTCTCCTCCTCTGCTGGGTTGTTTAGAAGTGATAACGGTGTTTACCTCCAGGAAAAGGGTTTTCCTCTCCACAATACACTCAATCACAGATTATAACAGCAGAACGAACCAGCTCCATTCCACCGTGCAGCTATTAAGTCTAAACAATGCTATGATCAACAGTAGCATTTAATTGAGAAAAAAAAGAAGAAAACTTAATTACCAACGCATTCTCAGCTCCCTTGAAAAAACAATTTATGGTTTTAGCATACTTAATATTCTAACAGGTAGCATTCGCCACATTTGCACATGAAACAAAGATAATAGCCAAGTCTGCAATCAAAGCAAATAATTACAGTCCCACTGTAACTTTTATTGTTCTCTACATGGGGGTGAGAACACCTTGGGGTAAAAAATAAGCAGGGGTGCACACACCATCCCTCAGGAAACCACTTGCTGTAATTTGAGACACAATTATCATAAATTACACATTAAATTAAAACAAATGTAGGAAGTACTAAGGGACACACTTCTTGTTCGTTTACCAGGTAATTATGAAGGAGAATTGAGGAGGAGGGGGGGGGGGGGGTTGGGAGACATATCCCTCTGTATGTGTTCAGTTTGTTAAACGACACAGAGAGAGAGAATCTAATTGATCAACTGATTTATGTTAAGTGTTTCATAGGCTCCTAAGGTTAAGATTGAGCTAAGAGTGGCTGCATTGATATATTTAACAAACACACACGTCTACATGCACGCTCTCACACACACACCTGACATCAATAGAAAAGTAGTAATATCACAAAACAACACCCTGATTCTAGGAAGCAGAGGATCTTGGGATGTCTGTGTAGACTCACTTGTTGAGGAACTGCTCCAGCCCAGCTCTCCGCTCCTCGATGAAGGAATCGTCAAATATCCCATCGTCCCCTCGGAACGGCAGCTGTCTGAACAGAGCTTTCCCTGGGAGAGGGGGGACCACCACCTGAGAGCGACACACAAACACACACACACACACACACACATTAGTGGCATAAACCAAGTGAAAATCCTTTAGCAGTTTTATTGTTGTGTTTCTCTCTCTCTCTGTTTCGATTTCCTTTTTCCTGTGTAAAGTGTATCTAGACTGCTGTAAACCCCCCAGATGGCTCACCTTGCTATCTCTCTCCAGCTCCCCTCTGAGCCACTCAAAGTCGCTGTACCGTCTCCGCACACGAGACTCCTTCAGCTTGAAGATGGGCAGGTTGGTCTAAGGGAAAAAACAGAGATTTTAAAAAAAGACTTAAGCCCTGTGGAAACCAACTGCGTTAAACTGTATGCGTTCCGGCAGAAGTCCTTTCATTTCAATGTGAGGCAATCCGCACCATTGCGACTCATCTGCCGGACTAGGCTGAGGTACGTGCAGTGTGTCTCATGCATTGGATTTTTCAAACTTGTTTGTTGCTTTGCTGTGTGGTCTCAGAGACAGAAGAAGATTAACAACTGAAGATTTGGGTGATTCTGATTGGGGGCGGCAGGTAGCCTAGTGGTTAAGGGCATTGGACCAGTAACCAATATGTTGTCGGTTCGAATCCCCGATATGACTAGGTGAAAAATCTATAGATGTGCTCTTGAGAAAGTCACTTAACCCTAATTGCTCCGATAAGTCGCACTGGATAAGAGCGTCTGCTAAATAACTCAAATGTAAAAATGTGATGTGGCGCTTGGATTGCATAAAAATTACTGTCCCAAGAGAATAAGGGTACATACAGTTGTGGTCAAAAGTTTTGAGAATGACACATATACTAATTTTCAAAGTCTGCTGCCTCAGTTTTGATGATGGCAATTTGCATATACTCCAGAATGTCATGAAGAGTGATCAGATGAATTGCAATTAATTGCAAAATCCCTCTTTGCCATGAAAATGAACTTAACCCCAAAAAAAACATTTCCACTGCATTTCAGCCCTGCCACAAAAGGACCAGCTGCCATCATGTCAGTGATTTTCTCATTAACACAGGTGAGTGTTCTCTCCTCTCTGCACAGGCTATACAAACGCCTCACACCGCGTGGCTGCTGCCTCTCTAACCTGGTGGTCCCTGCACGCACGACCCACGTGGAGTTCCAGGTCTCCGGCAGCCTCTGGAACTGCCGTTCTGCGGCCAACAAGGCAGAGTTCATCTCAGCCTATGCTACCCTCCAGTCCCTCAACTTCTTGGCGCTGACGGAAACATGGATTACCACTGAAAACACTGCTACTCCTACTGCTCTCTCCTCACCTGATCATGTGTTCTCGCATACCCCGAGAGCATCTGGTCAGCGGGGTGGTGGCACAGGAATCCTCATCTCTCCCAAGTGGACATTCTCTCTTTTTCCCCTGACCCATCTGTCTATCTCCTCATTTGAATTCCATGCTGTCACAGTCACTAGCCCATTCAAGCTTAACATCCTTGTCATTTATCGCCCTCCAGGTTCCCTTGGAGAGTTCATCAATGAGCTTGACAAGTTCCTTTCCTGAGGATGGCTCACCCCTCACAGTTCTGGGTGACTTTAACCTCCCTACGTCTACCTTTGACTCATTTCTCTCTGCCTCCTTCTTTCCACTCCTCTCCTCTTTTGACCTCACCCTCTCACCGTCCCCCCCTACTCACAAGGCAGGCAATACGCTTGACCTCATCTTTACTAGATGCTGTTCTTCTACTAATCTCACTGCAACTCCCCTCCAAGTCTCCGACCACTACTTTGTATCCTTTTCTCTCTCGCTCTCCTCCAACACTACTCACTCTGCCCCTACTCAAATGGTAATGCGCCGTCGCAACCTTCGCTCTCTCTCTCCCGCTACTATTCCATCCTATCATCTCTTCCCTCTGCTCAATTCTTCTCCCTCCAATCACCTGATTCTGCCTCCTCAACCCTCCTCTCCTCCCCTTCTGCATCTTTTGACTCTCTATGTCCCCTATCCTCCTGGCCGGCTCGGTCCTCCCCTCCTGCTCCGTGGCTTGACGACTCATTGCGAGCTCACAGAACAGGGCTCCAGGCAGCCGAGCGGAAATGGAGGAAAACTAGACTCCCTGCGGACCTGGCATCTTTTCACTCCCTCCTCTCTACATTTTCTTCCTCTGTTTCTGCTGCTAAAGCCACTTTCTACCACTCTAAATTCCAAGCATCTGCCTCTAACCCTAGGAAGCTCTTTGCCACCTTCTCCTCCCTGCTGAATCCTCCCCCCCTCCTCAAGCTGAACCTCGGCAAGACGGAGCTGCTCTTCCTCCCGAGGAAGGACTGCCCGTTCCATGATCTCGCCATCACGGTTGACAACTCCGTAGTGTCCTCCTTCCAGAGTGCAAAGAGCCTTGGCGTGACCCTGGACAACACCCTGTCGTTCTCCGCTAACATCAAGGCGGTGACCCGATCCTGTAGGTTCATGCTCTACAACATTCGGAGAGTACGACCCTGCCTTACACAGGAAGCGGCACAGGTCCTAATCCAGGCACTTGTCATCTCCCGTCTGGATTACTGCAACTCGCTGTTGGCTGGGCTCCTTGCCTGTGCCATTAAACCCCTACAACTCATCCAGAATGCCGCAGCCCGTCTGGTGTTCAACCTTCCCAAGTTCTCTCACGTCACCCCGCTCCTCCGCACACTCCACTGGCTTCCAGTTGAAGCTTGCATCTGCTACAAGACCATGGTGCTTGCCTACGGAGCTGTGAGGGGAACGGCACCTCCGTACCTTCAGGCTCTGATCAGTCCCTACACCCAAACGGGGGCATTGCGTTCATCCACCTCTGGCCTGCTGGCCCCCCTACCTCTGCGGAAGCACAGTTCCCACTCAGCCCAGTCAAAACTGTTCGCTGCTCTGGCACCCCAATGGTGGAACAAGCTCCCTCACGACGCCAGGACAGCGGAGTCACTCACCACCTTCCGGAGACACTTGAAACCCCACCTCTTTAAGGAATACCTGGGATAGGATAAAGTAATCCTTCTACCCCCCCTTACTCACCCCAAAGAAAGAAAGAAAAGAAAAAAACATATTGTAAAGTGGTTATCCCACTGGCTATAAGGTGAATGCACCAATTTGTAAGTCGCTCTGGATAAGAGCGTCTGCTAAATGACGTAAATGTAAACTTAAATGTGTTGACGAGGACAAGGCTGGAGATCACTCTGTCATGCTGATTGTTATTCTAACTCAGACTGGAAGCTTTAAAAGGAGGGTGGTGCTTGAAATCATTGTTCTTCCTCTGTTAACCATGGTTACCTGCAAGGAAACACGTGCCGTCATCATTGCTTTGCACAAAAAGGGCTTCACATGCAAGGATATTGCTGCTAGTAAGATTGCACCTAAATCAACCATTTATCGGATCATCAAGAACTTCAAGGAGAGAGGTTCAATTGTTGTGAAGAAGGTGTCAGGGCGCCCAAGAAAGTCCAGCAAGCGCCAGGACCGTCTCCTAAAGTTGATTCAGCTGCGGGATCGGGGCACCACCAGTGCAGAGCTTGCTCAGGAATGGCAGCAGGCAGGTGTGAGTGCATCTGCACGCACAGTGAGGCGAAGACTTTGAGGATGGCCTGGTGTCAAGAAGGGCAGCGAGGAAGCCACTTCTCTCCAGGAAAAACATCAGGGACAGACTGAAATTGTGCAAAAGGTACAGGGATTGGACTGCTGAGGACTGGGGTAAAGTCATTTTCTCTGATGAATCCCCTTTCCGATTGTTTGGGGCATCCGGAAAACACCTTGTACGGAGAAGACAAGGTGAGCGCTACCATCAGTCCTGTGTCATGCCAACAGTAAAGCATCCTGAGACCATTCATGTGTGGGGTTGCTTCTCAGCCAAGGGAGTGGACTCACTCACAATTTTGCCTAAGAACACAGCCATGAATAAAGAATGGTACCAACACATCCTCCGAGAGCAACTTCTCCCAACCATCCAAGAACAGTTTGGTGACGACCAATGCCTTTTCCAGCATGATGGAGCACCTTGCCATAAGGCAAAAGTGATAACTAAGTAGCTCGGGGAACAAAACATCAACATTTTGGGTCCATGGCCAGGAAACTCCCCAGACCTTAATCCCATTGAGAACTTGTGGTCGATCCTCAAGAGGCGGGTGGACAAACAAAAACCCACAAATTCTGACAAACTCCAAGCATTGATTATGCAGGAATGGGCTGCCATCAGTCAGGATGTGGCCCATAAGTTAATTGACAGCATGCCAGGGCGGATTGCAGAGGTCTTGAAAAAGAAGGGTCAACACTGCAAATATTGACTCTTTGCATAAACTTAATGTAATTGTCAATAAAAGCCTTTGACACTTATGGAATGCATGTAATTATACTTCAGTATACCATAGTAACATCTGACAAAAATATCTCAAAACTTTCAACCACGAATGTACAGTGCATTCGGAAAGTATTCAGACCCCTTCCCTTTTTCCACTTTGTTACATTACAGCCTTATTCTAAAATGTATGCAATTATTTTTTCCCCCCTCAATACCCCATAATGACAAAGCAAAAACAGGTTTTTAGCAAATGTATAAAAAATAAAAATACGGAAATACCTTACTTACAGACCCTTTGCTATGAGACTCGAAATTGAGCTCAGGTGCATCCTGTTTCCATTGATCATCATTGAGATGTTTCTACAACTTGATTGGAGTCCACCTCTGGTAAATTATATTGATTCGACATGAATCTAAATAAAGGTCCCACAGTTGATAGTGCATGTCAATACAAAAACCAAGCCATGAGGTCGAAGGAATTGTCCGTAGAGCTCCGAGACAGGATTGTGTCGAGGCACAGATCTGGGAAAGGGTACCAAAAAATGTCTGCAGCATTGAAGGTCCCCAAGAACACCATTGCCTCCATCATTCTTAAATGGAAGAAGTTTGGAACCACCAAGATTCTTCCTAGAGCTGGCCACCCGGCCAAACTGAGCAATCGGGGGAGAAGGACCTTGGTCAGGAAGCTGACCAAGAACCCGATGGTCACTCTGACAGAGCTCCAGAGTTCCTCTGTGGAGATGGGAGAACCTTCCAGAAACAAACCATCTCTGCAGCACTCCACCAATCAGGCCTTTATGGTAGAGTGGCCAGACAGAAGCCACTCCTCAGTAAAAGGCACATGACAGCCCACGTGGAGGTTTGCCAAAAGGCACCTAAAGGACTCGCAGACCAATAGAAACAAGATTCTCTGGTCTGATGAAACCAAGATTGAACACTTTGGCCTGAATGCCAAGCGTCACGAATGAAGGAAACCTTGCCCCATCCCTACGGTGAAGCATGTTGGTGGCAGCATCATGCTGTAGAGATGTTTTTCAGCGGCAGGGACTGGGAGACTAGTCAGGATTGAGGGATAGATGAACGGAGCAAAGTACAGAGAGATCCTTGATGAAAACTGCTCCAGAGCGCTTAGGACCTCAGACTGGGGTGAAGGATTACCTTCCAACAGGACAACGACCCTAAGCACACAGCTAAGACAACGCAGGAGTGTCTTCGGGACAAATCTCTGAATGTCCTTGAGTGGCCCAGCCAGATCCCGGACTTGAACCCGATTAAACATCTCTGGAGAGCCCTGAAAATAGCTGTGTAGCGACGCTCCTCAACCAACCTCACAGAGCTTGAGAGGATCTGCAGAGAAGAATGGGAGAAACTCCCCAAATACGGGTCCCAAGCTTTTAGAGTCATACCCAAGAAGACTCGAGGCTGTAATCGCAACCAAAGGTTCTTCAACAAAGTACTGAGTAAAGGGTCTGAATACTCATGTAAATATGATTTGTTTATTTGTAATAAATTATCAAAAATGTCCCCAAAAAACTGTTTCTGCTTTGTCATTATGGGGTATTGTGTGTAGATTGATGAGTGAAAAAATTATTTAATCAATTTTAGAATAAGGCTGTAACCTAACAAAATGTGGAAAAAGTCAAGGGGTTTGAAAACGTTCCGTTGGCACTGTATGTATATACACAGTACCAGTCAAAAGTTTGGACACACCTACTCATTCAAGGCTTTTTCTTTATTTTGACTATTTTTTACATTGTAGAATAATAGTGAAGACATCAAAACTATGAAATAACACATATGGAATCATGTAGTAACCAAGAAAGTGTTTAACAAATCCCTTTGCCTTGATGACAGCTTTGCACACTCTTGGCATTCTCTCAACCAGCTTCACGAGGTAGTCACCTGGAATGCATTTCAATTAACAGGTGTGCCTTGTTAAAAGTTAATGTGTGTATTTTTTTCCTTCTTAATGCATTTGAGCCAATCAGTTGTGTTGTGACAAGGTAGGGGTGGTATACGGAATATATTTGGTAAAAGACCAAGTCCATATTATGGCAAGAACAGCTCAAATAAGCAAAGAGAAACGACAGTCCATCATTACTTTAAGACATGAAGGTCAGTCAATCCAGAAAACGTCAAGAACTTTGAAAGTTTCTTCAAGTGCAGTCGCAAAAACCATCAAGCACTATGATGAAACTGGCTCTTATGAGGACCGCCACAGGAAAGGAAGACCCAGAGTTACATCTGCTGCAGAGGATAAGTTCATTATAGTTACCAGCCTTAGAAATTACAGCCCAAATAAATGCTTCAGAGTTCAAGTAACAGACACATCAACATCAACTGTTCAGAGGAGACTTGCTTGGGCCAAGAAGAAGAGACTTGCTTGGGCCAAGAAACACGAACAATGGACATTAGACCGGTAGAAATCTGTCCTTTGGCCTGATGAGACCAAATGAGATTTTTGCTTCCAACCGCTGTGTCTTTGTGAGACACAGAGTAGGTGAATGGATGATCTCTGCGTGTGTGGTTCCCACCATGAAGCATGGAAGAGGTGGTGTGATGGTGCTTTGCTGGTGACACTGAGTTATTTAGAATTCAAGGCACACTTAACCAGCATGGCTACCACAGCATTCTGCAACGATACGCCATCCCATCTGGTTTGCGCTTAGTGGGACTATCATTTGTTTTTCAACAGGACAATGACCCAACACACCTCCAGGCTGTGTAAGGGCTATTTGACCAAGAAGGAGTGTGATGGAGTGCTGCATCAGATGACCTGGCCTCCACAATCACCCGACCTCAACCCAATTGTGATGGTTTGGGATGAGTTGGACCGCAGAGTGAAGGAAAAGCAGCCAACAAGTGCTCAGCATATGTGGGAACTCCTTCAAGACTGTTGGAAAAGCATTCCTCATGAAGCTGGTTGAGAGAATGCCAAGAGTGTGCAAAGCTGTCATCAAGGCAAAGTGTGGCTACTTTGAAGAATCTCAAATATATTTTGATTTGTTTAACACTTTTTGGGTTACTACATGATTCCATATGTGTTATTTCATAGTTTTGAGGTCTTCACTATTATTCTACAATGTAGAAAATAGTAAAAAGAAAAGAAAAGCCTTGAATGAGTTGGTATGTCCAAACTTTTGACTGGTACTCTATATATATTTATTTTTGTACATACTGGCGCAGCCAGTCCACAAGGTGGCGCATCACCTTCTTACATTCTTTGGGGAGAACCCTGTGATGATATTGATACTAGACTGGGATTTATAAAGCTTTTTTCAACAGGTCTCACAACACACTGTATGGTACCATCAACCCTTCCACCACTAGTGTGTAGTAACCCAAGTGATACACAGCAGCCATTTTGTCCCAGAGACACTTACCACACACTGGCTATGAGAGTGGAGGTAGGGAGTAGATGCAGAGTGAATGACCGGCTTGCTATTGTGGCGTTTGGGCCTAGCCTTGTGTTAGGCACTCTGTGGCAAATTACTTTGTTAAAAGAGCCATACAAATAGAAAATTCAATTGGAAATTGAAATACTGTATTGAAGTTTGCCCTTACAGTGCTCACCAAGGTCTGATTCACTTTGGACGAGCTGAGAGAGAGAGAGAGAAAGATCGAGAGAGAGAGAGAAAGAAAGAAAGAAAGATCGAGAGAGTGTGCGTAGTGCTGTTTAATGAGCACTGGAGATTACATTTCATGAAATGTTTCGGCATTGACATACACCACTGAAGCGTACAGCAGCACATTAGAACACAATGCCAAAGCTCTTCACCTGTCATGAAAGCAGCATCCTGCGGCCATCCCAGCCACAATACACAACCTGGAGAGAAAAATACAATTTCCCCATAGACAGACAACAATCACAGAAGGTCAGAATTCATGGAGAGCCACAAGAGCAGAAACCATTGAGCAGTTAGATAGATGGATGCATGCGGGGCGATGTGTGCGAGCAGTGGCAGAATGATCGATAAGCAGGAGAACGAAGGAGTGTGTGAGAGTGTGATAAAGAGATGGATAGGTAGCTAGCACGCTGAGTAAATAGATTAATAAATTGGGGGGGATGTGGGGAGAGGGGGCTGTATGGACTATGGCGGACTAATTAAGAAAGGAGAGCAGAAGTGGCCTTTTCGTTCTCATGGTCTCCCTCGCTCTCACCCCCCCCCCCCCCTCCCTCATATTTTCCTTCTCCTATAATAAGTCAGTGTTTTGCCCTTGAGACCCCTCTTGAGTCTTTTCACTGGGAAAAACACAGACCGTACTCTCCTCGTCTTCTGTCCTCTCGGTCCGCTCTCTTTTTCCCTCCCCTCCTCTCTGTAAAATTATGGATTTTTCTCCTCTACATTAATGAGAGCTAGAAGAGAGAATTATTTTGGCAGGATTCAAAAATAAAAAATTCTAGTTATTTGATAATAACAATTGGAGAAAGAAATTCTTACCACAAAAACTACAAGGAAGTCAATTGGTAATAGCAGAACATTTATTAAAAGTAGCTGAAAAATAAAATAGAAACTTTCCCTCATGTTGGGGTTCTTCTGACAGTTGATAACGGAAGACAAAGAACAAGGTGAGGGAAAAAGGTATAGAACACTACAAGGAGAACTGAAGGAATGTTCTCTCTCGTTCCACCTTTCTTTCTCATCTCATCCTTCACCTCTCCTTACCCCCTTTCTCCTTAACGCCCTTCTCTTTCTTTCCGTAGTAGTATGCCTTCTCTCGTTTGTCTACCCAGCCATTCTCTCTCCTCTTATTTCCCTCCCCTCTGTCTCCAGGTGAGGTTGTCATCCCCCCCCTCCTTCCTCTCAGGTCACAGGAGAAGGGGATTAGCCTAGCTTTAGAGCCCCTGTAGCTGCGGTCTTCCCTCTCAGTGGGCTGTCCCTCAGTGTTCTGGTACCTCACAGCACGGAACGCTTCATGAAACACTGGGAAGTTAATCCCCACGACAACAGATCATGGTTACAGGTAATCTGCCACCGCCGAGACGCTAATCCCATCAGGCCCAGTCCCGATGCTCCCACACAAAACACACACGAGCACAACTGTGTGTGTGGAGACACAGGTGCTAGAGTTAGACAACACTCACACAAGCTTCACAACACACACACACACACACACTTGACGTTTGGACAATTCTGGTTACTCAAACTACGCCTTCCAAATGTTCAATCTTGGGCTTGCTGATCCACACCCCTTCCTGGACCTCACTGCTCAGGACAAAAGAGAGAGAGAAAATGAAAGTCACCTGCGCTTTCAATCACCACCCCATCACACCCTATGATTAAGAGATTGGCGTTAATGGTGAAAGAAGAGGAAGAGAGGACAAGTCAGGTGAAAGGGGAGTAGTCAGCTCGCCCACACTTTTCGGTCTCAAACAAACACTTCTAATCACACACAGCTCCACAAGTCAAAGATCAAGTTTCTGTCCTCTTCACACCTGGCTGTAGGTTGGGGCTGGGGGCGTGGTTCAGGTTGGGGCTGGGGGCGTGGTTCAGGTTGGGGCTGGGGGCGTGGTTCAGGTTGGGGCTGAGGGCGTGGTTCAGGTTGGGGCTGAGGGCATGGTTCAGGTTGGGGCTGAGGGCGTGGTGTGTGTGACTCTGGTTACGGAATAAGGCATTGATTGGGACACCCTGGGCCACCCCTTTATTTCCTTAGTTATTCAAAAAGCACACAGTTTCTCTCACTATCAGAGATCAGCGGTGGGATAAGGGTGGGTGTCATAAGCTTTCTATAGGGTCCAAGAAAATCTGTGTTGCGGAAAACACAGGCGGAATCCAGACATTAAAAAGGAATTCAACAATATTCAAAAATGTATTGAACTTAGTAGGAAATCAACTAAATGTATTGAACTTATTTGAAAATACATTAAATTTGCCAAAGTTAATCATAAAACATGAACAAAATGCATCTGTGATTCGTATTTTCATGCAACTTTCTGAAACGGCACAGGAATGCCCCCGTCTGTGTGTTGTGTGCTCATATGTCTAGTTTTCACTTTGTGAAGCCGTTAGCGATAATGCTAATGATAACCGTCTACTGGTTGATGGAAAGGCTTTCCCAAAAATCGTCAATGAAATGCTAACTACAAAGTAGCCTATGCCTACCTGGCAGAAGGATATCATGATTATTTGCATCAATCCAGTGGCCAATTGTTTTGCAAACTCTGCAATCACATGAGCGTTACAGAAACACCACTAACCAAACATAGTCTCTGGCTGGTGCTGCATGCTCACTTGCATTAAAGAGCGACTGCCTTTAAAAAGCAACAAATCCCTTTGAAAATGGCTTATGTGGCAACAATATGAGTCAGAAACATTTATTATAGTGTCAAAATGTACTACAAAGTGTAAGTAGGATAATTTTGGTAATAAAGTCAGTCTCGTCTAAGACGGAGTTTGGAACATCCATAAATGAAGGTTGGGTTTTGATTTGACGATGTCCATTTGCCCACTAACATGGGGTGAACCTCTGCGGTGATTGCTCTCTATCCAATAGCATAGCCAGTGAGACAGACCTGCCCAGCAGCTCCGACTTTGTTTACATAAGACAACACGTCGCACATTTTTTTAACTTGTGAAATACTGCACCAAACACCTTAATGTAAAATTGTGCAACTAAAACATCCTCTGCAAATTCATTACAGATATCTTCAGTTATCGTAGATTCATTCTGGGGATTTTGAGGAAGTGAAATAGGCTTCTGCATCTAGCGTCTCATGGAGGACAAACATCATTAACCAAATGCGGAATTGGTGAGGAAACACACTTCCAAGACTGAAATCAAATTTTTCTAATGATCAACAGAAAAACACACTTGCTAATAGGCATGTTGAGTGGCTCTTTAAATGGTAACTACAACCAAAATTCAAAATGTCTTAAGATTTTTACCTTAAACGTGGTCTCCTGATGTGGTTTAAACATTGTTGTGGACTGAGAACACCCAATTGTTGTTTTTCCTATTTAAAAAAAGTGTGATTCAGAGCGAAAACCTGAACAAACAAAACCAGGGGTTGCGTTAACGCAGAATTCTGTGTTTTCACAGAGAAAAAATAAAATAAAATGCATAACAAATATCTTGCTGCGTTTTGTAAACGCAGATCTAAAATGCTTCTTATTGTAATTTCTGCTCGGCATCAGACTAATTTTGTGCTTCAGTTGCACTTCTCCACTCAGATGAGAATTCACCAACAGCATTCTATCAGCAGAGAGTGCTCTGAATGATGTGTAGCTACTTTTCTCCTGATTTTTCTCAGTGTAGCCTACTTTTCTCCAGTTAAATGAAAGACTAACTTCAAGCAAAACATTAGGACATGTAGCTGACTACATTTCTATGATAAACATTAGAAATATGATGACCATGCATCGTTTCTTTGCAAAAAATACTTTGCTTTTCATTGTAAGCTAATTTATTTGTGTGCATGCTAGCCAAATAGCGTTGTACTTCTGTTGTCATCTGATGAAAATTAAGCTATTTTCTGCCGAATGTGTTGCACTAATGTATTTTCTGTGAAGGAAAACTATAGTTGCACGCACCTGACGACTCTATTGAAGCAAAAAAACTGTTGACTTTCAATATAAAAACGCAGGCGAAATGCAGATTTCTGAACTCTAACGCGACAACTGAAAACGAAGAAAAATGGAATCTGGGAAGACACAATGTAAACCATATGCCTTGGCCGTCTCAGTCACCAGATATCAACACAATGTAAACCATATGCCTTGGCCGTCTCAGTCACCAGATATCAACACAATGTAAACCATATGCCTTGGCCGTCTCAGTCACCAGATATCAACACAATGTAAACCATATGCCTTGGCCGTCTCAGTCACCAGATATCAACACAATGTAAACCATATGCCTTGGCCGTCTCAGTCACCAGATATCAACACAATGTAAACCATATGCCTTGGCCGTCTCAGTCACCAGATATCAACACAATGTAAACCATATGCCTTGGCCGTCTCAGTCACCAGATATCAACCCAATGTAAACCATATGCCTTGGCCGTCTCAGTCACCAGATATCAACCCAATGTAAACCATATGCCTTGGCCGTCTCAGTCACCAGATATCAACCCAATGTAAACCATATGCCTTGGCCGTCTCAGTCACCAGATATCAACCCAATTGAACACTTGTGGGAGATTCTGGAGCGGCGCCACCATCAACAAAACACCAAATGATGGAATTTCTTGTGGAAGAACGGAGTTGTATCCCTCCAATAGAGTTAGACACTTGTAGAATCTATGCCAAGGTGCATTGAAGCTGTTCTGGCTCGTGGTGGCTCAACGCATATTAAGACACTTTATGTTGGTGTTTCCTTTATTTTGGCAGTTACCTGTACATACTCATTTTGACTAATCACAATGCATTTTGAAAAACAATACATAGCTGGACATGAGCAGTTAGACAAGATAAGAACGAATTACAACAGAAAGGATAATGTAACAAAGTGATTAAAATGTGTATAAGCAGTCTTTCCATGAATAGCCGAGGCTATGGTGATTAATTATGCTTCATACAGACAGAGAGCGCTAGAAAGCGAGAGAGAGCGAGCGAGAGAAAGCACAACAGACAAAGCAAGGCAGATCGAGAGAAAGGTAAGCCTAAGCAAGTGAGCACACAGGGTCCATTTCATAAACAACACAAAAATACCCAACTTCCAACTACACTTCAACTGAGCCACTGGCCTACTAAAAGCTTTCACATGGCAGGAACAGAAACCCATGAGTAACCCACCGCTGCATTAGAAATGCATGTGAAGCATCATGTGTAGGAAGAGACAATACCATAGCTCATTAAAGACTTGGGGGAGAAAAGAGCCCCAACCCCTTAAGAGAAAGGTCACCCCTCTCCTGTGAGAATGGTTCAAGGCCGCCTATGCATTAGCTTTTAGCAGGATGGATTAAGTCAAGTTCGAGAGTGCCGCATCCCTAACAGCCACTGCCCCCTTCTTACCCTCCCCTAGCTCTCCCTTTCAAAAATAAAAAGTATGAAAAATGGCAGCACAATACCACCTCATCGCATCATATTCTAAAAGGGAAAGAGAGGAGAGAACAATGGCGCTGGGGCCGTGGGTCTCTCTCGCTCTGTCGTTTCCTCTGTGCACTTTCCCTCTCTCGCCCCTACAGCCCGACAACCTTCCCTCTCCTCTCTCCGACTCCCCTAGCTGGCAGAAAGCTGCTTTGTTGCCATAGTATCAACTCCCACTTTTGATACTGTCATTTCAAGTAGGATATGGTAGCCTTGATACAATATGTTCCCCATTTCCATTAAAATAGTTGTCAGAGAGGATGGTGTAGAATTTGGATTATACTTGACTGTGCCTGACAAGGCCCCTCCATCCCCGCCCCTCCCTATTTTATTAATGACCAAAAAGGTTTTTCCACCCCCAAAATGGAACAGAGAAAGAAAGAGGGGGAGGCTATGGGAGTGGAGAGGTGGAGGAGGAGTGGACAAGAGAGAGAGAGAGCTGTAAGAGGCCTTTTTATATGCTCCTGTCTGTCCATAAACAAAGTGAGATCCCAAAGTCCACTCTCTCCAGTGTGCTCTCTGAAGGGGGAGATGGAGTCTACCAAAGGCAAGGTCTAATGTTGGTGGTAAAGCTTTCCCCCCCGTTTGTTGAGTTCAAAAACATACACTACTCTGTTGAGAGATCGAGAGAGAGAAAAGTCCTCTCACCCTCTCATCAAACTGAATCATTGAGAGACATTAGGACTGTGTAGAGAGCATCTCCTCAGCATTCAAGACACGTAAAAAAAATACCCTGAACTAAAGCCCATGAAAGTGAACTAACAATTAGGCTATCCAACCTGTTAGCAATAGCCTTCTATTATCAAGGGACTTATTTTAACAGTATTTTATAGGCAGAAGGAAGACTTTAAATATAACTAATGACAAACGGAAAGACCAAAGACAACATTATTGTTTTACACAAGACCATATTTCTCAGGTTTACAAGTCTGCACATGTGAATTCTAGGTTAACTTGAGGACATGACACTGGTTTTAGCAGAGAAACTGTCACCATCTGCAGTGCACAACGCAGTTTCTGATATACAATCAATAGGCCTAAACAACAACTGTCTGGCCACACTTTCTCTCGCTGTGACTTTTGTCATGTGACCATAATGTCACCTTTACATTTAAGTCATTTAGAAGACGCTCTTATCCAGAGTGACTTACAGTTAGTGAGTGCATACATTATTTTTATTTTATTTTTCATACTGGCCCCACGTGGGAATCGAACCCACAACCCTTGCGTTGCAAACACCATGCTCTACCAACTGAGCTACATCCCTGCCGGCCATTCCCTCCCCTACCCTGGACGACGCTGGGCCAATTGTGCGCCGCCCCATGGGTCTCCCGGTCACGGCCAGCTACGACAGAGCCTGGATTCTAACCAGGATTTCTAGTGGCACAGCTAGCATTGCGATGCAGTGTCTTAGACCACTGCGCCATGAAATTTGTCACACGAGTGACCATAAAATGACCGCTGCACTGACCATGAAAAATGTAATATGACCATATCAGCTAACACCATAATGACAAATTAACATACGACCAAACCAAGACATTGCATGATGAAGTTATAGTACTACTTGTCTAAAAGAGTTGTGCAACAGTTACCATAGATACTGAAGTGGGGACAGAGACCTAGAAGGAGTAGTAGGAACCAAAGAAACAGGAACTCAAAGTATAGGAGGTAGTCTATAGGAGGCATAGCAGTGAAGAGGAGACCTGACTGATCCGACACTGCTGGTGCAGGCACAGCATACATTTCACCTGTTAGGTCAGGTGTCATATGACTAGATTTTAGAGTCATTGTGGGCTAAGGTGACTATTCTCTCAACTAGGCTGGGGGGGGGGGCGAGGGACGGAGATGCAGGGATATGGTGGATGAAGAGTGAGGGGGTGCCTTTGTGGCCTCCCCAGGGGGGTGAGAGTAGGTGGTGGAGCCCATATGAGGACGCGGATGAAGCCTTCCCCTCCCCACACACCAGCCTGATTCATTCTTCTCCCCTATCAATGAGGGGATTAAGAAGACTCTCTCAGCACGGTCGTATGGGCTCTCACTGCCATGGGATGGGGGGGGGGGGGGTTCACAAATATTATAGCTAAGCAGTGAGGGAACCCGAAACACAAGCAACACTGGAAAGCATTCCAGGCTGGCCAAGGTACCAGGCAGGCCTTTCGGTATAGTCGAAATGCCTTTAGAAACGGGAGTAAAACACTTCTAAAGAAAGGGAGAAGAAAGGAAAGAGGAGAGAAGCGAAGCAAAGTTGACACCACGTTTGTTGAGAAGTGAGGGATGCTCCTCTTATTCCTGGCTCTTATGCAAAGCAGGGTCACAGAGGGCCATGAGGCGCACAATAAATGCTGATTACACGCATATGCTAATTATTACACGCCAATCAAGTACAGTAGCCTTATATTCAGTTCTAATACCCGCAGACAGGCTTCTCTAGGTAGGGGAAAGCTATAAATACTATAGGGGTACGCTGCGCTAAACCACCACGCTACTGAAAACAACGCGAGAGACAGCCCAGACAATCAGACAGGGTTGACGGTGGTACGGTGATAACATGCTTAGCTCTTGATGTACCGCTTCAAATGCAATAATTCTGGTAATTTGTTTTGTATTATGCACTCTGTGTTGGAAATAGTGGTGTGAAACAAATAGCACAAAAGCAGAGGATGAAAAATATAGCCTTTTTTCAGCAGTCTTATAAAGTGTTGTTGCGTTGGTAACAGTTATTCAGTTGGTTCGTTTTAGTTTTCATAAAACATGAGAACAAGCTCCAGACAGGTTTTTAAATTGTGTTATACCCCATGCATTAAGTCTGTCATAGACTTTATTGTCATGATGATACTTTGAGTAACTTTGTTTTCTTTACAAGCAATCAATAGCAACTTTAGCTGATTTGAGGGTTAAACAGTTGTTGATGAGTGACTTTCACTCTCCATAGCGCAGTTTATAAATATGGATGAGACCAGAGGTGAATCTCAAAAGTACTTCCTTGATTCCTCCCATCCACTCCCCACCAGAGGGAAGCAAGGAGGTCTGGCTTTGTGAGGACATGCATCTGTCCTGTTTAATCCCCCAGCCCCCCACCCCAGCAGAGCAGAAAGGAAATGCATGGGGTGAGTAAGTGGGCTGTGGGGCTCGCTGATGCTGAGCCTGGCTCAACATCCTGTCTTCATTCCAGAGAAGCTGACCAGTACAGTTTCAGTACACCAACATGTCATAGAACTGAATTTTACACAGAGAGTCCCTTTACTGGAATAGTATTGCTATGATTAATAAGAGAGGGGGAGAGAAAAACACTGGATTCATCTGTATTGCTCAATATCCGAGTGGAGGCATAGAGAAGCGACATTTCTTCGTTGAGTGAGGGAGAGTCTCCAAGCTCTGTTTTTGGGTAGAGACTTGGCATGAAAGCCCCTTTTACTGTGTTAAAATACACCCTTGTTGAGCTTTCTGCTTCTGTTGGTGTGTGACAAATCGAGATCTTGGGACTATAAGGTTCTATCTGCAAAAAGATGATTCTGAGATAGTTGGCTTTAAAGTTCAGAACCCTTATTGGTTTGAATGGTGTCAGCAATTTCTATATTGTCTTCTTTTGAACTTAACAACATTAATTGGGGTATTTAGAGTACTATATAGGTAGAGAACATTGAACAGAACAAAGCTAAGTCAATAACTCAATTTAGACAAAAATGCAGATTGAACCTTGTAGCCCCAAACTCTCGAAATACAATTAGCTATCTACCATTTACACCCGATGACAGGGGTGTGGCTGGAACACAAAAATGATCTGTTAAGGGTTTGTACGACAGTTAATTTGGCAAAGATAATACAAACTAGCTAGTTAGTTAGTTATATGGCTCACTGGCCTTTAGACATGGGGTTCTTGCAAACAACACACAAAACAAGACCCACTGTCAACAACATATTTGTAACTTGCCATTGACTTCACATTCCTGAAGTCAGAGAAGCTAACAGTTAGCACGTTAGCTAGCTATCTGGCTAGGCTATCGACCAAAACTGGAGGCCCATTCAATAATATTGTATCAACAATACTTTGATAACCTTGCCAGAAATAGTTTAATCGTTTTAATACACAGCTGAATTGGTCAAATGCTAAGTATAATGTTAGTTTATTTAACTAAACCCACCGTCTAGCTAACTGTTATAACTACTAACAACTACCTAACTACCCCGTGGCTAAAAGCTAGTTAACTGATTTGATAGTTCGAATATTATCTACATCTGACTAGTACACATCTCTTTCTTAGCGTGACCCTAACTAAACTCAATCCCCTTTATCAAGATGACCAGGTCCATTGCCCTAAAGAGCAAGCTAATGGTTTGCCTAGTTATTTTGTTAGCTCGCTAGTAGCTATCTTGTATGCTCACCTTCAGTCTGATTTCATACGTGGTAAACCTGGTCCTGCCGACACCGACCGTTTCAGGGTTGCTCACGTCAATCTCTAGAAAGTTACTTGGGGGTCCATACGCGTCGTTCAAGTTCTGAGGCTTGGAGAATAGCCTCCTTGTATCAGCTATGGTATCAGCCATTTCTCCCCCACTAGCTAGGTTAGCTGCAATTGCCCTGTCGTTTGGGTCCATGTTATCTGGGATCCTTGGGACGTCCCTATAATAATAATAATAATAATAATAATAATGATAATTAATAAATGGGTGGGTGCTTCTATTTGTCCTATTTCAAGTGTGTATTAATACGCATGTTTGAATAGGAAATTTGTTTTTTTGCATATCACAACTGTTCCTGAGACACCCTCGGAGAGTGGGGTCACGGCTTCATATATACAGTCATTGGGTCAAGGCAAGTGTCTACACACAGACATTAAAACCAGGGTCTACCACGGCCCTACCCCGTTGAAGTTTATATAATTTAAAATGGTTAGGTAAGGGTAACTTATGGTTATGGTACAGGTAGGGTTTAGTGTAGGGACGTCCCAAGGATTCCTGATAGCACTAACCCTTTCGTTTGGGTTGCGCGCTCCACTTCCGATCAGCTGAGGTGCAGCTGACGCTTGGCAGCTTCCGTGTGTTTTTGCCGCGTTCAGAACAACTGGGAACTCGGAAATCTCTGATTTCAAACTTCAGCGCGTTCAAGACAACTGGGAACTCGGGGAAAAACTAGCTCCGACTGGGAAAAATCGTTTTGAAGGGCCATCCAACTCGGAATTCCATGTCGGGAACTCGGGCATCTTTCTAGAGTATCCAGTTGTCTTGAAAGCACCATACATTTATAATATAGGTGCGTTCAGTTCGCTTGAACGTTTGCTATGTTGCGGAACGGTTTGTACTGAACGACATGTTTCCACAAAACGTTCTTGTACGTTCATGAAGAGGCGTTGAGGTACGTTTGGTGGGTGTGCTGAGGTGTGGCTTGAAGCAATAAGTAACGTATTTAAAGGGTAATGGCCATGCCCTTAAAATTTGATTGGCTGATAATTGCACTATTCCATCAGAAATATTAATAAATCAGAGTTAAATGCGCCGTGTAAAGTGTTGCATTTAATTCCTCACAAAATCAACAAAATAGCTACGTATACAAAAATATACAAGACATATCAAATGTAAAAGATTTTGATTGGCTTTATAACTCGCCCATAACGTAGTTTATTTCAAAGAAAATGACTTGTGTCATAACTGTTATGGTGATTCTACATGTTTATAAATAAAGTTTCACTCCATTGAATCAAGATGGCGGCGTACACATCGTCTTTGGCGACCAGATGTTTATTTAGATATTTACTAAAACACACTCAAAACAACATTTGGTATCCCACGAGCAGCATTGCAAAAGGTGAGAGATTCTACATTTTGTCCAAATGTTTCATTTCGTGATCATTCAGAGGATTAACTCTGTTGTCCAAGCTTACAGTTAGATAACTTGCATAACATTAGCTAACGTAAATTGCTAGCTGTAGCCTGTTAGCCCATTCATGTGATGTGCATTACAGTACATAAAGGGCTAACTAGCTAGCCTCTTAGTCTTTGATACACTCCCCTTACAAAACCAGTGTGATGAGATTTATTGGCATGATGATCATCTAGTAATTCCTAACATAAGCATACAGTATTATAGTTGTGAGTTGATGATAATCTGCTGTTATATGTCCACTGTACGTGTTGATGGTACATTGTATCATTGTCTTCATCTTCCTCTTTGCCAGGCTACACAACAAGCACATGTAATCCATCCGCATCACCATTGACCCCCTTGAACCAAGCCAGGTCAGACACCTCGGCGTCCACCAGAACTATCGAGCAGCACTATGACAGTCTCATCCACTGTGGCTCACTAAAGAAGGACACTCAGCAAATAGATGCTCTACATAAACTGGGGCAACTGCAGAAAACCCTGCGAGGGTATTCCAACAGCATCTACCTGACCCCACCCAAGCCTAAGGAGAAGGAGGCAAAAGACGGCAACGCAAAGCGCCAGAAAGTAAAAGACTCCAAATTGAGCACAACTGAAGGGGATGATGCTCCCATAGAAGAGGTATGGATTACTTGACTGATGCACTAGCTAATGCAACAAATTGATGCAATACATAATTTCATGCTGAATGGTTGTCCTTATTGTATTGTATGGTTATTTGATCTTATTTAGCCCTATATTGCATAGGAATATTGCATCATGGTTATTAAACCTTTGATAGAAGCTTTCTCCTTCCTATACTTTTAAGGTTAATGGAGAATGCTGGATTGTCATTGGATGACTCATCTGTCACTCACAGCATGCCTCTCACTAACTGGATCGGTATTCTCCAGTGTTGGCAGGAGACTTGTGTTTTCCCCCTACTGTGTCCCAGTTAGCAAACAGAAGCAATTAGTCACTTGATTATAATGTTCCTGACATTTGGCTTGCCCTCACCAAACATTATGGCCCTGTGTGCTTTTGAGAGAATGTTGATGAAACACTATCAAGACCCGATTCAGTGAGAAGGGATAGATTGCAGTATAATAAAATGACTACCAGTATGTACGAAATTTTGCAAACCAAGCAATGCTCCGAAGCAAAATTCCCTTTGCCAGTCGTAGAGCGTTTGTGGAAAGCCACATTGTTCCTCAGTTCAATAATATTCTAGCTGATCCATAAGGACTACACATGACACAACACCATTATTAGGCTTAGTCATACACAGTTAGATTGCCATTGCCCAATCATGAAATGGCTTGATTCTGCTAGATGAGCTTTATAAATTGAATGGTATCTGGACTCTTAGCATTGCATAAATTGTTCCATTGACATCACACATATTGGAGCAGTACACCATGGGACATCACAGAGGATCCACCTGCCACACTGACTGTCTCTGTACCCCTAATGTTGTTGGAGCCATGGTCAGAGGGAGGGTAAGGGGTGTGCGCGTGTTTGTGCGTGTGAGTATAGCGGTTTTAGGTCTGTATGGGGGACTGTTTTCTTTTTAGGTCAGGGGACGGTAGAGCTGTCTATGCTATGGGGTGGGAGTGTAGGGGTCTGCCTGGCGCACAGACAGAGGGGGGTAGAATGAGATGTTTTGGATAGCAGGAAAGAGAGACCTCCTGCTGGGGTGGTTCTGGTTCTCCTCTCCCTCTCTCATCATCCCTGTGCAGTAATGAGGGCATCCCCATTGTCTAGTACATTCCGGACTGAAAATACTGAGGTGTAAGGTTCTCACTACCCCCTCTCCTCTTCATCCTTGTTTGTCAGTCTGCCACACACACACACACCACATGACTAGAGTTCTTATGCAATTACACTGTTTTGAATCGGGTCATGTTGCTGCTGTCTGCTCTCTCTGTCGGCATTCATTCACCATTGTACTCTGACTGACTATGAGCAGACTACACTTGACTTAATATTGACCCAATGTGGCTTGTTTTTGTAGTGGCTAACAATGGTACAGTGTTTATGGAGGATCCACCCCCATTCAAGTCAGATTGGTCATCCTGTCTACTAGGCCTTGGTCAGTTTGACCAGTTGTTAAGATAACCAACCATCGTAACAGTCCTCATTTACCTTTCACCTTTCTAAGGAGTGGACTGGTTACTATGGTTACAGGATGTAAAAATGGGGTCTATAACAAAGAGCTCAACCTCTGACACTAACGTGTTGACATGTGAACTTTTTGCACTTGAGCTATTCTACGCTCCAGAGCCGGATGAGCGTGAGAGTGAAAATTGGAGGCTGAGCTGAGCGGAGGGCCGACTGACTGAGGAGAGGCATTCCTTGTCCTTCTCCACTCTGCCGTAACATTAAAACATGGCTGCCGGCCACCACTGACAATTACTGCCCGCGTTTCCAGAGAGCAGCTTGGAAAGTCAGCGAGAAGTCACACACTGTCTTCCAGCATTTCACCTCAGTGTAGGACAGGACAGGGAGGGGGAGAGAGAGAGAGGTGGAGAAGACAGGCTAGGAGGGAGGGAGAGGACTGGACAGGGAGGCGGGAGGGTAGGAAGAAGGGGAGGGATGTTTTTTTCCGCCAATGAATCAGCCATTGTCGTGAGATATGAGAGTCTGGTGCTTCATGAAGGGCAGTGGACACTGACTAATGTTGCTGCTGAATTGCAGGCAAAATTAAATCAGCTCCAAAACCACTTTCTGGTCAAAAACGTTATTTATCTATGAGGTAGTTTACGGAGGAACAGCAGCTCATCTTTTCCATAACAACCTGGTCAACAAGTTGCAAACAGTGGGCCTATGATTATGTGATTGTTGGATAAAATCAGGATGATTTAAGGAATGACTTAACACTTCCACACCACTTCAACACAGTATCTAAATCAGCCAGTCCAACCCAGTGGGTTTGTAGATGTCCACTAGACTAGTGTTTCCCATTTCCAGTCCTCCAGTACCCCCAACAGCACACATTTTTGTTGTAACCCTGGACAAACTCCCCTGATTCAACTAATTGAGGGCCTGTTGATTGGTTGAATCAGGTGTGCTTGTATTGGAGCTACAACAAAAATGTGTGCTGTTGGGGGTACTGGAGGACTGGAGTTGGGAACCAATGTACTAGACCTCGGATGAACCTGCTACAGTCCTCCCTGTTTTGTCTGACAAATCCCCCCCATTGTTCTGCTGATTATGCTTTCTTCGTGGGAACCCTGTCTTGTTGATTAGATGTCCTTTGTCTAGCTCTGCTGCAGTAGGCTAGTTGTCTAGAGAACTGGAATCATACTGTAGTAGTCAGAGGCTTGATGCCCTGCCTGTAATTCTGGATTAAAACAATGATATGGTAATGAATAGTCTATGTTCCATAGGCCTATACTTTCTAATGTAATTTGATTCAATGATAATTAATTAATATAGCTAGCTACTCAGTGATCCCCTTTCTCGATATGACCCTTCTCATTCAAATTCTCATAATAGAATGACAGCAATCATCTGTGAAAGATGTTGTGAAAAACAAACATTGTTACATTTTACATTTTGTTGACAGTTATGACTGTTTATTTAATGTTTAATCCACAGGAGGAGCCTCTGCCTCCCCCACCACCACCCAGAGGGTTCTATATCCATGGTGATGTTGGTAAGATACGTTGTAACACATTATCTGCAAGTTATAACACATTATCTGCAAGTTATAACACATTATCTGCAGGTTGTAACACATTATCTGCAGGTTGTAACACATTATCTGCAGATTATAACGTATTATCTACAGGTTATAACACATTATCTACAAGTTATAACACATGTGGAAAACCCCCTGTGGCTCCACCAAAATGTTGCAGTTTCTGCAGCCCATTCAGACACTTCTCCTTTCGGTGCCTAGGTCTGGCTGTAGAACTCTCTAACCTCCCTGACCTTGGTCAACTGACCTCTGATTGGTTGACATCTGATGCTCAGAATCACCAGACATATCTAGCCAATCAGCTGCAGGCGATTACCTGGTTTGGACCAGTTTAGGCTGCTCTGAACTCAGTCTCCTCCAGCTGCACAGAGAGCGGATGCTCTTGTATATCTATGCTGCTCCCTTTCACCTCTGGACTTCTCCATCCAAGGACTACCACATCTGGACTCCTTTAGTGTGTGTCACTTCCTAAAATACCATGCATCTTCACACATCTATCACATTTATCACAATCACTCATTTTCTCCTGTAATGCTAGTGTGTGTTGCAGCTGGCAATAAACCTGAGTTTTTCACCCATCTCCTACTGAGCCATCTCCCTCTAACCGGGGTCAGTTGTTCCATCCACCTTTTACAAGCAACTCTATGGGTCCACCTCTTACCGGGTGTCGCTCTCTTTCAACACATTACCCACAAGTTATAACAAATAATCTGCCAGTTAAAACATTATCTACAAGGTATAACCCATTATCTGCAAATTATAATACAATATCTGCCAGTTAAAACATTATGTATAGGTTATAACACATTAGCAGCAGGTTATAACACATTATATGACAGTTCTAACACTTACTTACATTCAGTTTGATGCTGACCCTGTGACTACTGACTAGGCATGGTATTGCCATGGTTCATGCTTTTTTTGTGGATTTTGTTAGCTATATTTTATGATCCATATATGTTTCGTTCTTGTCTGTCTTTTTTGGGGTGAATTCCAGGCACAGGGAAGACCATGCTTATGGATATGTTTTACTCTCATGTGGATAACGGATGTAAGAAAAGGGTCCATTTCAACAGCTTCATGTTGGACATCCACAAAAGTTAGTGCTCTCCTCCTAGTATGTCTCTTAATATACAGCTGTCAGAGGTTTGTTTGCTTGACTTTGAGCAAGTCCGACACCCCCATACATTCTGTATCGTATATTTACCTCACTCTCTGCTGATCCTGATGCCATACTAAATTGTGTACCATTATGCAAATAAGTAAAATTACTGCTGTTACTACTACTTTGCATTGTTAGTGGGTTTGAATTTCAGATGCAGGTGTGCTGTAAGATGTTTGTGTCTGACGATTGTGTAACCTTGTTAAAGGGATCCACCGGAGGAAACAAAGCACTCCTCAACGGAGGCTAGGGAAAATGTTCACCTATGACCCCATCTTGCCGGTTGCCATGGAGATCAGCAATGAAACCTGTGTCTTGTGTTTCGACGAGTTTCAGGTGAGCGTGTGTGTGTGGAACGAGGAGGACTTGAGGTGACTCAAGCAGGTGTTTTTGGACACATAACAAACTACAGTTAAAAAACAGCATAACAAAAGGCACAAAACAACAAAAACGGTAATTTCCATTAACTATCGACTGCACAAACTAATAAGACAGAACACCAAATTAGTCAGTGGAGTTTTATGTGCCAGCTAATGGGGATGACATAGACAGAATTAGCAGATCCTTCAAAACATTAACATCTCATTTATACTGATGAACAGTAGGCCATATCATAGGCAGGGTAATGGCTCTAAAGCATTTTTCCATGTCCTCCTCTTGCTTAGAGCCATTTGAGGGGAAGGTAATGAGTCTCCTCAGACTCACATAAACAGGGCTGGAGCCACCTAGTGGTTGGTGTGAGTGTAGCAGCACTCGGAGATCCTACTCGGGCACTGAAATAGCGACTGGCGGCGGCATAACATGGAGGAAGCTGCATCCCCACACATTTGCTCTGGATCATATGTACCTCTTATAAGCAGTCCAACAGCATTACAATAACTGTAGTTGCCTTCCCGACAATCCTAACAGTAGTGATGTATCCACTGGTACAAATAAGACCAGTACTCTGCTCTTTAGCTCTTTTATCATGCTGGCTAGTTGATATCTGCATTGAGAGGCATATAGCCTTGCTTCTCAGTGAGTGACAATAAGACGCATAGGTATTATCACTCATCCTTATGGGGGGTCAAAGGTCACCGTAGGCACTGTCTCTCTCTTTAATCACTCCCAGGGTGCATCGGTGTGGAACAAGACCCTCTCCTTTCATTCTGCCTTTTCACATTTTAAACTGCCGCACTCTCTCTCCTCTCGCATCCTCATTGATTTGTTTTGTTTACGGTTGCCTTGCTGCTTTGCTTTCTTTGCTTGTCGACTGTTGCTACTGGTGAATATGGACAACACGTGTGTCGTTGTATGTGATGCATAAACAAGAGGACGGGGGGGAGGGAAGGATTGTGTGGGGGGGGGGGGGGGGTTGAGGGTCCATACCAATCAGCATCCTCCTCCACTCAGCCATGCAAATGAGGCTATGTGGGTATCAGTCGCACTCTCCTGTTTCCTTAAGTGAGTGGCGCTGGAAAGCGACTGGCGGCGGCAGCGGGTCAGATGGATCTTATCCTCTTAAATGCTAATGACATTTCTCCATTCTCTTCATTAGCACTGTGCCATTATCAGTAATTTGTAGCCCCCCCCCCCCCCCCCCCCCCCCCTTTTGTCCCCCTCCAAGTCTCTCTAATGAATACTGGGCATTGAGAAGGACGCCTGAGACGGAGAGAGGGATGGAGAGACAGAGAAAGAGAGACTGAGGACAGAGACAGAGTGGGAAGAAAGCGCTTCAGGCTTTCATTGTCTCAGAACCCCAGTCAGTGGGGCCTATCTGTGAAATTACTCAGGTTGTGTTGTTGTGTACGTAAAGGGGTGTAAGATCAAAAGAGGCTTAATTTGGCACCCAAGTGCGACGCTGCGGTAAACTGACTCCCCGCTAGAGTAATTGGATGCTCATTTGAATATCGACAGTGGCGGCGGCTGTCGCACCGTTGTTTTTGTCTTGCACAAGTGCCGTATATTAGCCCCCCTTCTCTTTCTCTGGGAAACCTTTCGTATCTCTCTTTCTCTCTCTGCTCTCTTCGTATTCAGCAATCAATATCGGCCCTTGGAGTGTGCGGTGTGTTTAGGGCCCATGAATAAACAAATACAGGTTGGATAAAGGTCATAATTAAATGATTCTTTTGAAATTAAAATTAAAAATAACGGCTGGAGGAAATGGGGCCTATTCAGTGAGTATATAGGTCCCAGGCACCTTGGCTTTATGTGGATGTCACACACACACACACACACACACACACACACCCCTTAATTGACTGAAGGAGAGTGCCTCTTGCTGCCTTGTTGCAAAATCAAGGCTTTAGCTCCGATGCTAATGTAGTATTGGCAGAGGGCAGAGGGGTTAGCATGCGAAAGTAGAAGACACTCCAGGCTAAGAAAGGCAGCATATGCTGTGGGGATGGCAGTCATAAGTGTCTGTATGAAACGGGAAGTAAAGGAGAGGAAAAGAGAGGGACGTTAAGGAGGGGGAGGGACCATTAGATAACAGGAACACCCTTCCTCTTATCCACAAGTTCGCCAACCCTACTTCTCTACATGGACTACAGTCTGCTTGATTCCTAATGAAATACATTAGAGTGGATTTGACCAAGGAGATTGATTATAGTGATCATATAGATATTGGGGGGGGTGTAACAGAAGTACAGTACAGTTTTACTATTTGGCAAGATGGTCAGTCAATCAGTTGCTCATAATGTTTGCCAATGTCCTCTTGACATGTGTGGATTGATTCACCGTAGTGCCGTGTTGTTGGTGGAAAAGGCAGCGGTTCCATAGTGCTAATAGATAATGATCGTGGAGGCCAGCAGCAGCTCAGGGACAGTAAAGCCGTCAGGGCCCTCTTCACAAAATGACCTCCATCTAACACACACAATCCCACACACTTCACACACCTTTTGTGCGGCCATCTGGGAGTCTCTTTGTTTGCCATTGTGGCCCCTGTTCGAATTCATATCGCTATCATTTTTTTGTTATTCTTTTCTTTCTCTCGTTCTCTCGCTTTGTCTGTTGAGTTGATTAGCTCTGCCTCGCCGCGTTGGCTTGGCTACTTGTCCTCCACAGAAAGCTGCGTTGTGTGTGTGACCATGACCAGGGTGAGAGAATGGAAAAGACGTACATCTAAATGACTAATCAGCTCAGGAGATTGCGTGGTCATTCTCAGCTCCCATGTGTTGACCTATATGCGCACACAACCATATGCTTTTCTGCCACAAGAGAAGGCACATTGTAGTCTGGCTGCCTTTTAAATTCTCTCTCTCTCTCTCCCCCCCACCCCCAGGTGACTGACATAGCTGATGCGATGATTCTGAAACAGCTGTTTGAGACGTTGTTCAGGACTGGGGTAGTGGTGGTGGCCACCTCCAACAGGCCCCCTGACGGTGAGGTCAAAGTAAATTCGCTCTCTGTACTGAGTCTCTTAAGGAGAGGTACTACAGTGCAGATACCTTTTTGATTCACGCAATTCATATTATTCACACGGCTCATGCTTTATTCGTGCACAACTGTGGTATCATTGTACTGTTATTTGATTTTGTGGCACACACACACAATCAGAGTCCTACATCATTGTCAGTTTGTAAAGCAATGCAGCTCGCTCCTTTCTCCTATTGTGCTGTTGAACAAAGTCACACATGCTGCTTTAACTCTACAGTACCGCTCCAATTCACATCCAGTCCAACCTGTTCACTTCACATCGTGTCAAGCTCACCTTTCACTTCCATATAGCCCACGCCATTGTTTTTCAATTATACTCACAATTTGGGCTCTCACTGTTTCTCTCACTGTTTCTGGAGGTTATCAGATATCCGATATAGTGCCCTATCATGTGGATGCATATTTGATCCTTTGGATTCAGTCACAGTTAACTGGAATAAGCTGATATTGTTTGTATGGCAGCCCGAGGAGGTCGGTGAGACTGTGTATAGCTGGGGTCGTGTTCAGCAGTGCACTGTAGCAAAACGCTTGGCAACAAAAAAACGAAAAGCTGTGTTCTTATGGGAGAAGTTCCTCCCTGTTTCACACCGTTCCAAAACATTTTCTCCCTACTGAACACAGCCCTGATGATGATGCTGAAGGAGAGAGAGGGTTAAATCACAGACATACATTTAAATATATGGCTCTGGGGTGAACTAGGCTTCTTTCTGTTTGTTGAACTGATGTTGAACAGCTCCTGCCTTTTTCTCCATACCACTATTATCTGAATCACCTGAAATCCAGTGTTGTGTGTTGCCTCTCTGGATCAAAGACTGTTCAAAGCGTTATTTTTAATCATGAAAGAAGGAAAAAATTATTTGATACACGTTCCATGAATCGAGCCATGTAAACTCTTTAATCTCTCCCTCACTCTCGCTCCCTCCATCTCTCTTTCTCTGTCTCATTCTCTCTTTGTTGATTCCACCGCTGTTGTTTTGTCAAGGCTGTGATGTTACATTTAATGCTAAGTGAGCAAGGTGGAGAGAGAGAGCAAGGGAGGGAGTATGAGAGGGAGAGATAAAGACATGACGTTGGCTCTCTTCTCAGGGCTAACGTCATCAATGTCTCGTCGCTCAATGGGTTTCCAGTTGATGGCAACCGAGATCGCTCTCTCTCTCATTACAAAGACAAGCTTGTCTGACATTTACCAGCCATTAAGAACAAAGCGACTGACCACGCAAACTTGATGGAGATGCTTGTTTGTTTTTTAATTAGACAGCTAATGGAACACTAAGCCCTCAGAGACAGCCTGACATGAAAGTAAAGGAGGATTCCTCCTTTATTGATCTCCACATGAGATTGTGCTAGCTAGACTATCAAACACAGCTAAAGTGGGTTATGTGGTGGATAGATGGTGCTAGGCTATCAAAAGCAGCTAAAGTGGGTTATGTGATTGAAGGGGAACTTACTTTGAGATCATGTGTCACGCTCCTCAGCACACTCTTGTTTTTGTCTGTTGTTGTGTAGCTCGAGCAGAGCAGTTGTCTCCTTGTCGTTCTTTAGATGCACTTTTGTTAATGGATGTTTAGTAGAGAAGGACAGGCTGAATGCTTCATTTCAAGGTTGACACTAGATTGTGGTGACTGTGGTGAATTTAGCTGCCTGCCTCTCAGGCCCATTGTAGGTCAGGCCACCTTACATTTCAATGGGATCTAATGTCGCATCTCACACACAACCTGGAAGGATGGATGTGGGCTGTATGATTAAGCTTACCTTTTTCCACCCACAGTAAAAAAAAATGGACTTCTTCAATGTGTTGTATTTGCTTCATCTTGACTTTTTCTATTAAAGTTGCCCTAAACATGTTTTACCACATTGATAGGAGCCTCCTCACGACACACATTGTTAGGCGTAGTATACAGTGCATTCATAAAGTATTCAGACCACTTCCCTTTTTCCACATTTTGTTACGTTACAGCCTTATTCTAAAATGGATTAAATAAAACATGTTCCTCATCAATCTACACACAATACCCCATAATGACAAAGCGAAAAAAGGGTTTTAGAAATGTTTGCAAATGTATTCAAAATAAAAAACAGAAATGCCTTATTTATATAAGTATTCAGACCCTTTGCTTGAAATTGAGCTCAGGTGCATCCTGTTTCCATTGATCATCCTTGAGATGTTTCTACAACTTGATTGGAGTCCACCTGTGGTAAATTCAATTGATTGGACATGATTTGGAAAGGCACACACCAGTCTATATAAGGTCCCACAGTTGACAGTGCATGTCAGAGCAAAAACCAAGCCATGAGGTCGACGGAATTGTTCGTAGAGCTCAGACAGGATTGTGTGGAGGCACAGATTGTCTGCAGCATTGAAGGTCCCCAAGAACACAGTGGCCTCCATCATTCTTAAATGTAAGAAGTTTGCAACCACCAAGACTCTACCTAGAGCTGGCCGCCTGGCCAAACTGAGCAATCGGGGGAGAAGGGCCTTGGTCATGGAGGTGACCAAAAACCTGATGGTCACTGACAGAGCTCCAGAGTTCCTCTGTGGAGATGGGAGAACAGAAGGACAGCCATCTCTGCAGCACTCCACCAATCAGGCCTTTATGGTAGAGTGGCCAGACGGAAGCCATTCCTCAGTAAATGGCACATGACAGCCCACTTGGAGTTTTCCAAAAGGTACCTACAGACTCTCAGAACACGAGAAACAAGATTCCCTGGTCTGATGAAACCAAGATGGAACTCTTTGCCCTGAATGCCAAGCGTCACGTCTGGAGGAAACCTGGCACCATCCCTACGGTGAAGCGTGGTGGCAGCATCATGCTGTGGGATGTTTTTCAGCGGCAAGGACTGGGAGACTAGTCAGGATCGAGGGGAAAGATGAATGGAGCAAAGTACAGAGAGATCCTTGATGGAAAACCTGCTCCAGAGCGCTCAGGACCTCAGACTGGGGTGAAGGTTCACCTTCCAACAGGACAATGACCCTAAGCACACAGACAAGACAACGCAGGAGTGGCTTCTGGACAAGTCTCTGAATGTCCTTGAGTGGCCCCGGACTTGAACCCGATCTAACATCTCTGGAGAGACCTGAAAATAGCTGTGCAGCGACGCTCCCCATCCAACCTGACAGAGCTTGAGAGGATCTGCAGAGAAGAATGGGAGAAACTCCCCAAATACAGGTGTGCCAAGCTTGTAGCGTCATACCCAAGAAGACTCGAGGCTGTAATCGCTGCCAAAGGTGCTTTAACAAAGTACTGAGTAAAGGGTCTGAATACTTATGTAAATGTGATATTTCACTATGCCACTAATTTACATTTTAGTCATTTAGCAGATGCTCTTATCCAGAGCGACTTACAGTTAGTGAGTGCATACATTTTTCATACTGGCCCCCTGTGGGAAACGAACCCACAACCCTGGCGTTGCAAACGCCATGCTCTACCAACTGAGTTAGACATGCCTAGAGTGCCTTCACCATGCCTCCTAAGCTGCGGGCACACTACACTGCAAGAGTTGAGAGGGTTGGAAGGAATGGAATATGGATCATATGAGTTACCTAACTAAGGACAGAACATAAACACTGGCCTTCAGTACATCGTGGGGCGAGTCACTGTTGACAGTCAAACCAGATTGCCATCTTTAAAGTAGACAACAGTGGTCAAGCCACTGAAAGCAACATAACTTCGCTAACGTTAGATGGCTTTGATAGTGGTAGCTAACTAGTTAGATCACTTGTTGGTTAATGTGGTTAAAGCTAGCTGGCTAATGTGGCAATGACAGTTGTTCGTTAGCTAACTAGCTGGCTAAAATAGACACAAACCGACATAGCTAGCTAGCATTAACTTGCTAGCTAACTTAGCTTGTTAAGTCGTTATCCAACAAGCAAGTCAATTATATAACGTTAGCTATTACTACACATTAGTTAAGGAAAAACAATAATTAGGGGATTTGTTCCGCTTGTGTTTACCAAATAATCATGACTTAAGTAGTTAACTAGCATTCTGGGCAGCTAACGTTAACTGTCGTAGCTAGCTAACGTTAACTAGCTGAATTCCTTAGTTAACGTTAGCGTAATATCGAAAAGCCCTAACTAGCTACGACTGCAATTAGTTATGGAAAACAGTTTGTTTAGACACCAACTGGTATTTATTAAGCAGAACAAACTGATGTTGTGGATAATCAATCACGACAGCTAGCTAGTTAGAAAGGATTAACGCTAGCTAGCTAAAAACCTGCATCATCCATATATGTATATATTCCTTTACTTAGATTTGTGTATTAGCTATTTGTTGTGGAACTGTTAGATATTACTTGCTAGATATTGCTGCACTGTCGGAACTAGAAGCACAAGCATTTCGCTACACTCACAATAACATCTGCTAACCATGTGTATGTGACCAATAAATTTGATTTGATATATACAAAAGTATGTGGACAAATAAGATAACCATGCGCAATGCCAAGCGTCGGCTGGAATGGTGTAAAGCTCGCCGCCATTGGACACTGGAGCAGTGGAAACGCGTTCTCTGGAGTTATAATAACACGTCACCATCTGGTAGTCCAACAGACACATCTGGATTTGGCAGATGCCAGGAGAACGCTACCTGCCCGAATACATAATGCCAACTGTAAAGTTTGGTGAAGGAGGAATAATGGTTTGGGCTTTTTTTCATGGTTCGGGCTAGGCCCCTTAGTTCCAGTGAAGGGAAATCTTAAAGCTACAGCATACAATGACATTCTAGATGATTCTGTGCTTCCAACTTTGTGGCAACCGTTTGGGGAAGGCCCTTTCCTGTTTCAGCATGACAATGCCCCCGTGCACAAAGCGAGGTCCATACAGAAATGGTTTGTCGAGATTTGTGTGGAAGACCTTGACTGGCCTGCACAGAGGCCTGACCTCAACCCCATTGAACACCTTTGGGATGAATTGGGACATCAGTGCCTGACCTCACTAATGCTTTTGTGGCTGAATGGAAGCAAGTCCCCGCAGCAATGTTCTGACATCTAGTGGAAAGCCTTCTCAGAAGAGTGAAGGCTGTTATAGCAGGAAAGGGGGGACGAACTCCATATTAATGCCCATGATTTTGGAATGAGATGTTCAACGAGCAGGTGTCCACATACTTTTGGTAATGTAGTGTACCTTAACAACGTTAAAACAAGTCTAACTTCATTGTCAGCTGCTACTCCTGTAAACTTAAACCCAAACATCAACAACACCTACTCGTTTTCATCTTTCCAAGTAGTTTAAGGGTGTGTGTGTCTCTGTGTTTTATCGGTCTATCAGGGATGCTACTTCAAATGTAATTTGTTCCAGCAGAGCTAATTGGAAAGTCTATTCACGGGACTCTGTGGACAATGTCCGAGCTGAAAAAGCGAAAGTCCTTTCTCCCGCCACCATTGTTTGGGAATGTAATGAATTTTATGCTGCTGCTGCGGGTAGAGAAATCCATTTTTCTCCCTCTGCCCTAGTCCCTTTTGTCCTGCCTCCCCACCCATCCTTTAGTTCATCAATAGCCACTTTATGTGCCAATCTGTGGCGGGAGAATTACATTATTAGGGGGCTAAACAGCAGCGCTAACATGGCGCCTCCCTCTCCTTTCAGAGCTGTACAAAAACGGACTTCAGAGAGACGCCTTCCTGCCTTTCATCAACGTGTTGAAGGTAAAGACAAAGTCATCCCCTCTTCTCTCCTCTTTTTAATGTATTCATTCATTTATTCTCTCATCCACCAGACACCTCACACAAACACACACACACACACCTCCGTTACTGTGTCTGTCTCTTTCCAATTTGCTGTTGTGTGTTTTTTTTGGTGTGTTTTCTACCTGAGAAGCACAGTATCACACACGATGTCACAAAGCTGACTTTGATCATACCTGGAGATGGTGAAAGACTCAAACGGACACAGAGAGAGAGGGGGAGTGGGGAGGGTAAGAGAGAAACCTAGAGCTAGAAAGAGAACGAACGCTCGCTGTGTGAATGGGAAACAGACAAGCGAGCGGAGGGAATGAACCAGCCTGCTTGCATTTCAAAGTGAGGAGAGAAAGGGGAGCGAGAGGGGTGGGCTGCGGGGTAGCACCATGGATAGAAACAAGCAATGCTCCGAGACTACTTTGCAATTTAATAGCATTATTATAAGCAGGTAGAACCATTATCCATTAACCATTATCCTGGCAGCACCAGAGATGATTACGAGGTGTTTATACTGACTATGATCATAAATAATTGCGGAATAATTTTACATTCATTTTGCAGGAGAGGAGAGCAGGAAAACATTCTTTCACTTTTCATAACTAAATAGTAGAGATAAACGTTAGGAAATGGATCCCTCTTGTGAAACAGAGGGTTGCGTGGGTGCTCGAACATACACACACACACACAATGATAGTTATTGCACGGGCGCGCGCACACACACCCCAGTGGTACCTCTGAGGAATCATCAGAAGACGTACAAGAACACGCAGAACAGACAACCCAGGCATTTCCCTAAAGAGAGCATCTACTAATCCAAGAAGGACCTTTCTATGTGGTAATATCATGGGCTAGATGATACCTTTTACCACTGATGTATGTAGTTAACACAACCACTAACCTTAAAGAGCGACTTAACGTACCGATTCCGCAAGTTACTCATTAAGAAAAACGAGATTTCAGTCTTAGCGGTGTGGTTCGATGTGGAAGCTACTGATGTTTGTCCCCCATGAGACACCATAGGAACAAAACCAGTATATCTTCCTCAAAATAGTCAGAATGACTCTAAGAACTCAAGAAATCTGTAAGGAATTTTGATGTGTTTGCAGAGGAGGTTTTAGTCATGCAATTTTACATTTGCTAAGGTATTTGGTGCAGTATTTCTCAAGTTATAAAAAAAATATGCCACATGTTGTCTTATGTAAACAAAGTCAGATCAGCTGCAGTGCTGGGCAGGTTTGTCTCACTGTCTGTGTGTTCTGCTGTAGGATTGGATATAGCGCAATCACCATGTGTATCCCTTGTTAGTAGGCAAGTGAGCATTGTCGAAATGAATAACCAACCCCTCAAATAAGTAATGACAATCTCGCTTACAAAAGTCTGTTTTGGACAAGACTGACTTTGACCAAAATTATCCTATTTACACTTAGTAATCAATTTTGACACTAGAATAAATGTTTCTGACTAATATCGATGCCACAGGCCGTTTTTATATCCGATAAATTGTTTATTGCCATCAGTTGCGCTTTAAAGTCATAAAGCACTCACACCCAAACTTCTATCTAACCATTGGTTGTGGAATGCACATGTTCTCAGGGGATTAAGGTTTGGTTTGGGGGTGTTTTTAATGAAGAGTTTCAGGGTCACTGGAGCTCTACTGTGTGTCCCCCTCCATTTTGGTCTTTCACCAGGGCCTTAAAGTCACCATACCCCAAAACCGCTCCCCTCTCCACCTCTTGCCCTCATCCTAATCCAGCCTCATAAGGAACTGTGAATGCCCTTGGTCCCATTCTGCCTCCTCTCTGCCTCCTCTCTGTCCCCTCTCTTTCAGACTCCCATGTTGCCCTTTGTGAGGCCATCTGGTTTTGGGGTGGAGTGGAGAGTTTGGGGATGCTCCCCTCCCAACAGTGGACGTCCTGCCAAGTTAGAAAGGGTTGGTGGGGGTGTGATCATTTACATTTTAGACATTTAGCAGACACTCTTATCCAGAGCGACTTACAGGAGCAATTAGGGTTAAGTGCCTTGCTCAAGGGCACATCGACAGATTTTTCACCTAGTCGGCTCGGGACTTAGAACCAGCGACCTTTTGGTTACTGGCACAGCGCTCTTAACCACTAAGCTACCTGCCGCCAGGTGTGATGAGGGTGGTTCCTCGCCCCCACTGGGTGACCCTAAATAGTTTGAATTAAAGCTGGAAGGGACCAATGATTCCATCCCTCTGACACTTTGGATGTAGAGTCAGTGTGTTTTGGAGTGAAGCCATGGTGTGAAAGGGGGAGGAGAGGTGAGTAGTGAGTGAGGGTGTGAGGGTGTGAAATTAGCCTCTGACCTCTCCTCCCTGTCACCTGAGCTGGAGTGTTAGGGGTTAATCCCTCCCTCTCCAGCGTGGATGTCTTATATCTCTATTGACTTCTGATTAGAGGAGACCCCAGGGACCCTCGAACCACCCTGCCAAGCCCCCCAAACCACCCTGCCTCTTCCCCCAACTAGCTACCTTGCCGAGCGTTCTGCTACCCTCCTGCCTAGCCCCCTCCTACTGCTCCCAGCGTTCACAGGGGTAGTTACAAGAGAGAGCGAGAGAGAGATCACACTCGTTTTGATCTGTCCTCTATCCCCCTCTTTCATTCTCTTCAGCATTTCTTTCTTAGGCGAGGAGACTGCATTCGCTTTCTCTGTCCCTCCTCCAACTTTCTCTTTCTTTTCTTTTCTTTTCTTGGTCTACCTCTGTTATCCCTATCTGCAGGCCCAAGGTCAGGAGATTTTTCCCTGTCCTCTTTTGATGCTGGAGAAATATGATAACCTTTATAAAACTTGAGTAGCTGTATTCTCCCCCCCCCCCCCCCCTTCATCTATCCTTCCTTTGTGGTGGCTAATTGCTATGTATTGCAGGAAGTTCTTTTTAGAAAAAAAAATAATAATAATACATTTAATAAATAAGTCGACCGTTGCAACATGTTCAGCTGCAAGGAAAAAATTGACTGAAATACTTGTTCCCCTCTAGTAAAGGCCTTTCTGTCTGTTGAGGACCTATGTAGAGGGGTTCGAAGAGTGCCCAGTAAATGAAAATTGATGGCTGCTATTGTCCCCCTGGCATTTAGTTACATAACAATAATGCTCCCTGTGCCTTGGGTTTTACTTTAACTCTTTCTTTTAAATAATTTCTTCACAACATAGCTTTCAAGTCATGTATTTTCCAATGGAATAGAAATAGCCTTGCATTTGTTGCTTTTCATGGACATTCTATCGGTGAAATGTAATGGCGTTCATTTCTTTCTTTTCCTTTCTGACTGGCATTCTGTCTTTGTTTTTTGCCCCTAGAATATTTGTTCTACCGGTAAGTTTTTCTGTGAGTGCGTGCGTGCGTGCGTGCGTGCGTGCGTGGCAGGCCACCTCAGAGCCCCTGTGACAGGAGCTTTAATCTGATAATGGCTCATTTAGATCATGAAAGAGAGCAGCAGAGACTGGGGTTTTACACTCTCCACATCTCTCTCCATCACTCACTCCACATCTCTCTCCATCACTCTCCACATCTCTCTCCATCACTCTCCACATCTCTCTCCATCACTCACTCCACATCTCTTTTTCCTTTTTCCCACATGTGCACCTACATTTATTTATATTTCTCTCCTTCCATTCCCCCCGTTTCTTGATTCCAGTCTCCCGCGCTCGCTCGCTCGCTCTCTCTCTAACTGCCTCCCTCCTATAGGAGTACTGTTGTGATTGTCTGCTTCTCTCTGGAGCGCTAGTGGCCAGGTGCAGATGGGACACCCCCCTTACCCATGTCGCTGCATGTCATGGGGGGTACGGGAGGGAGGCTCCAGCTGGGAGTGGGGGGGGTCTGGAGGAGTGGAGCTGGGGGTTCAGTGGGGCCCTGGATCACCTAAAGGCGGGCCCTGTGCTCAAAAGATGTTTCCTCAAGAGGAGCAGCCGAGGCAGGGGGAGGTTGTGAGAACGACCCCGTGGAACAAACCATCCAGGACCCAAGGCAGTCACACTTTAAGGGAATAGCTCATTAGGTGTAATTAGGGTGGTCACATTGTTATGCCCCCCCCCCCCCCGTAGCGTCACTTGGAGTGAATAAATTCACCACACACACACCCGCTCCCCTCCCCAGTTAGTGAAAACACTTTGATGTCAGAAGAGTCGTCCAGGACGGGCCAGCATAAAGGCACTGTTTTAGACTTTCTCTTTTCTCCCTCTCTTTCTCCCAACCCCTCTATCCCTCCCTCCCTTTTCTTCTCCCCCTTCACACAGGCTGTAAGACACACACGGATGAATGGACGACAACCTTTCCCCTCCAACTCCCGCCCCACACATACACACATTCTCTCCCTGCCCTCCCCCCAACTCTTTTTCAGCCTTCCCACCCCATGTTCTTTGAGGCCTGGTCAATTCTCTGGGCCCCCCCAAAAAAAAAGCATCAAATGTTTTCTGCAGTTGGTAATGAGGGAGTGGACCTCATCAGGCCACAGTAGTCAGCTATCCTTGGCTTTTGTTGCTGCTCAATGGCACCGCGCTCTTTGAAAAACTCAAAAGCAACTTTTTGAGGAGTGAGGGACAGAGAAAAGGGGGGGGAGAAGCCACTGTTTGTATGCTAAACGGCTGTCCAGAGAGAGAGTGGTGGACAGCTTGGACAATTACATGATTGGAGCTACATGTTTTAGGATGACTTTTTCTAAAGAGACTCTGATTCTCATGTCTGTCATGGCTGTGTGAGAAAACAAGATAAAGCAAGAAAGGGTGCTCTTTGACTGGTGGCGAGCTATCCTGACAGTAACTGGATTGCTACCGGTTTATTGAAAAGGGATATTCAGAATGTGGTGTAGGATTTTGAGTTAGAGGAAAGTATGGCATATGAAAGTGTGTAATTAGGGAATAAGGTTATGTGGAGAAGTTGTAGTGTGGAGAGGAACATCCTAGCATGTGGGGGGCAGGATGGAGAGAAGAGTAGAGTCATAGGTGAGTGAAGTCTGCGAGGAAAGAGCGAGAACTTTCCAAACCCCTCAAGATGGTAATCATGTAATAACCGACAAGGCCTCCTGCTCATCTGATTAGAAATAACCAATGATGCCATCATCACTGATTGTGTTGCCTTCACCTCTCTCTCTCTCTCTCTCTCTCTCTCTCTCTCTCTCTCTCTCTCTCTCCTCTCTCTCTCTCTCTCTCTCCTCTCTCTCTCTCTCTCCTCTCTCTCTCTCTCTCTCTCTCTCTCTCTCTCTCTCTCTCCTCTCGCTCTCTCTCTCTCCTCTCTCTCTCTTCGTCTCTCTCTCTCTCTCTCTCCTCTCTCTCGTCGACCCATCAGGCTTCTATAGGTAGACAAATCCAAGAGGGAAAAAAAGGAGGGAGAAGATTAGCGTTGGTTTTGTAATGCGACGCGGCGGTTGATGGCGCCGCCGAGGTGTTATTGCGGAGGGACTATTTACCCGTCGGCCGCGGCGCTGCTTGGTGAGGTCGCGGCTCGGTTGATGAAATGACATGTCCCTTTTGTGCGTGGGGGATGGAGAGTTTGTCAGGTTGTTATTAAGCCTGATTCAACCAATTGGCTCGGAGTGGGAACCCCGTTTGTGTGAGCGGGCGCAGAGATAAGAAGTTGACAGCGGCGGTAGAAGAATGGAGTATTTCCGTCTCCTTGCTTTGTGGTGATTGCTAATTATCCCACTGCTCAAGGAGGCCGGTGGCACAAATTCACTGATTTCATCATTTGCGCCGAGCTGTCATTGAATACTGATTCGCCTGGCACGGCGTTCGTTTGATGATATAATTTTTTTTTCTTCTTGTCTTTTCTTTTTTTCTGAGAATAGAGGAGATAATGATTATAGTGTGCCGTGCTCGCTGACATGTATCGCGTTGACGTTTTATACTTACTGGGAAAGTTTGAACTCTGCAGCAGAAGTTTCAACTCTGCTGTTCCACTTGAATAAAGAAAGGACTGTAGATCAGCTAGAAAAATACAACAAATGAAAACATGACAAAAACATGAGGAAGTTAGTAAAGCCTTAAAACATGACAGTACACTTACTGCCATACTTGTATTAGTTGCCAGCTGCTTCCTGTGTCACCCTCCTGTGGAAATGCTATTGTGCACCTCTCACTAACTCTCTCACTTACACATTTACATTTACATCATTTAGCAACTCACATTGGTTTTGGTACCGAGGTTGTTTTTGCCACATTGCTAAATCAACATGTTTGGTTTTTCTGTGTGTAGGAATACTGCCAGCCCATGGGCATAGACTCTGGGGTTGACTATAGAAGACTGGACCTACCTTCAGCAGGGAAACTCTACTACCTGTAAGAGAGTGTGTGTTTGGGCATGCATGCATGAGTGTGTGTACGCATGTATGCCTGCATGTGTGTTTTCTCTCACAATGTGAAAGAGGCTTTATAGCCACACTTCTACACTCCTAAATAATAGTCAGTCTCTGTGTGGGGCAGTATGGAGGAAACACACTTAGCCCCGTGCCTCTTTTTATGGAGATGGTTGGGAGAGTTGGCTGTTTTGATGTGACCCTGGCCTCCTCCCACGCCACTGGAAGGGTCAGTGCTGATTGGAGGTGCCTCACTTTGAACACACACGAGAGGTTCTCATGGGCCTGTATGTCACACACACACCTCCTGTTTACACAATCCCTGAGCTATAACACAGTAAACAAAGTGATGGCAACTATAACACTATTACATCAACACACATTTAAAAAATACTACAGTTTACTATAGAATACTACAGTACTTACAATATAATCATGTAGTAAACTGTAGAATACTATACTAAACACTGTCGTATCCCTCGATCATGTGTAGTACTTACTATAGCATTTTGTAATATACTGTAGAATATTATAGTAAATACTAGTGTTATCTGCAAAAAAGTAGTTTAACTATAGTAATACTACAGTATTTCTTTTTCATATCCTGCCCATTCCCCTCCCCCATATCCCAATTTGTGCCCCACATAAGTGAGAAACCTACATGCCAAGTATAGATTATATTGTGTTCCCTATAGGTTATAGAAAAGAGCAGAAGCTTTTTTTATTATTTCTCCATTAGGTTTCCTCAAGGAGAAAGCCCCCATTTCTATGTCAAAAAGAATGCAACAAAAACACTATAGTAAATAACACAGTAATATCCACAAAAACAATACAGTCCGCAAAAACATTATAGTATTCTACAGTCTCCAAAAACACTACAGTAATTACTATAGTATATACTACAGTTTTTGTTACTACAGTATTTAAACGATAGTTAACTGTAAATACTACAGTATACTACAGTATTCACTGTAGTGTTTTTGCTGACTTTAGTCTGCAAAAACACTACAGTGAATACTGTAGTATTTATACCATAGTATATTATAGTATTTTTTTCATGTGGGAACCTAACAAAACGCACACACTAACTGTTCTGCCAGTTTGCATTTAATATGAGAGAGGAGACCGAAGGGGAGAGAGAGAGAGCAAGAGATAGACAGACCGAAAAGGACAGAGGGAGTTAGGAGTAGGTAAGGACAGAGTAATGCCACTAACCTACAGTGACAGTACGGCCACTAGCCTACAGTGACAGTAAGGCCACTAGCCTACAGTGACAGTAAGGCCACTAGCCTACAGTGACAGTAAGGCCACTAGCCTACAGTGACAGTAAGGCCACTAGCCTACAGTGACAGTAAGGCCACTAGCCTACAGTGACAGTAAGGCCACTAGCCTACAGTGACAGTAAGGCCACTAGCCTACAGTGACAGTAAGGCCACTAGCCTACAGTGAGAGGGAAAGGGACAGATAGAGGAGTAGAGAAATACAGAATGATTGAGTTTGAAAAGGCAGAGTCCTATTCTTCCCATTGCCTGTACACACACACAGAGTATGAATAACATTGCCATTGCTCATTGCGTAGCCAGAGATTTCAAGTGCCTTCCTCTTTCAGTGTATGCAAATAAAACAAATTGCACTCCTCTTTACCTGAACGAGAGTTAAAACACACGCACAGACAGACAGATTCAATCTGCCACGCATTCACAGGCTAATGCTTGTGTTTACAGTCTAACATCCCGTTCTTTGGAGATGGAGTGAAAAGCTAAGTACCCCCCCTCCTTCCCCCTCCCCGCACCCGCTGTTTGATGTGGCCACTTCAGCCGTATTAATTTCATATTCTATTATCCCCCTCTTTCTCTCTTCCTCATTGTGTGTGTGTGTATTTGTGCGCAGCACCAGAGAGCTTGATGCAGAGGCCTTCATGGATACGCTGTTTCAGGAGCTGGCTGTGAAACAAAACAATGGTAGGAAGTTAATGTACCTCTTGTGAAAAAGATAGAGGGGGAGGAAAGGGGGGAGAGAGAGAAAGTAAAAGGGCGAGAGAGTGGAATGGAGAGTGTGGAGATTGAGAGACAAAAGGATGGGAGAAAGAGAGGGAAGGGGGAAATGGAGGCAGACAGAACATGTCCACTTACATGATTGGAACTTGCATTACTATAGTAAAGGAGGGTGAAAACTAGTAGGCCCAGTGATATTGAGGCTAAAATAGTGGCTATAGTTTCAGTATTGAGTTGATTTCTGTGTATGATGAGCTATATGTTGGGTCAATTAATCGTGTGTGTGTGTTTCCGTAGTAACGGGTCCCAGGGTCCTGACGGTGCAGGGCAGAGAGTTGAGACTGGAGAAGACCTGTGGAACCATCGCTGACTGTACCTTTAAAGAATTGTGTGATAGAGTGAGTTACTTACACATCCATCTGCTCTACAGTGAGGTAAAAAAAGTATTTGATCCCCTGTTGATTTTGTACGTTTGCCCACTGACAAAGACATGATCAGTCTATAATTTTAATGGTAGGTTTATTTGAACAGTGAGAGACAGAATAACAACAAAAAATCCAGAAAAACGCATGTAAAAATTTTTATACATTGATTTGCATTTTAATGAGGGAAATAAGTATTTGACCCCTCTGCAAAACATGACTTAGTACTTGGTGGCAAAACCCTTGTTGGCAATCACAGAGGTCAGACGTTTCTTGTAGTTGGCCACCAGGTTTGCACACGGGGATTTTGTCCCACTCCTCTTTGTAGATCTTCTCCAAGTCATTAAGGTTTCGAGGCTGACGTTTGGCAACTCGAACCTTCAGCTCCCTCCACAGATTTTCTATGGGATTAAGGTCTGGAGACTGGCTAGGCCACTCCAGGACCTTAATGTGCTTCTTCTTGAGCCACTCCTTTGTTGCCTTGGCCGTGTGTTTTGGGTCATTGTCATGCTGGAATACCCATCCACGACCCATTTTCAATGCCCTGGCTGAGGGAAGGAGGTTCTCACTCAAGATTTGACAGTACATGGCCCTGTCCATCGTCCCTTTGATGCGGTGATGTTGTCCTGTCCCCTTAGCAGAAAAACACCCCCAAAGCATAATGTTTCCACCTCCATGTTTGACGGTGGGGATGGTGTTCTTGGGGTCATAGGCAGCATTCCTCCTCCAAACAGGGCGAGTTGAGTTGATGCCAAAGAGCTCCATTTTGGTCTCATCTGACCACAACACTTTCACCCAGTTCTCCTCTGAATCATTCAGATGTTCATTGGCAAACTTCAGACGGCCCTGTATATGTGCTTTCTTGAGCAGGGGGACCTTGCGGGCGCTGCATGATTTCAGTCCTTCACAGCGTAGTGTGTTACCAATTGTTTTCTTGGTGACTATGGTCCCAGCTGCCTTGAGATCATTGACAAGATCCTCCCATGTAGTTCTGGGCTGATTCCTCACCGTTCTCATGATCATTGCAACTCCACGAGGTGAGATCTTGCATGGAGCCCCAGGCCGAGGGAGATTGACAGTTATTTTGTGTTTCTTCCATTTGCGAATAATCACACCAACTGTTGTCACCTTCTCACCAAGCTGCTTGGCGATGGTCTTGTAGCCCATTCCAGACTTGTGTAGGTCTACAATCTTGTCCCTGACATCCTTGGAGAGCTCTTTGGTCTTGGCCATGGTGGAGAGTTTGGAATCTGATTGATTGATTGCTTCTGTGGACAGGTGTCTTTTATACAGGTAACAAGCTGAGATTAGGAGCACTCCCTTTAAGAGTGTGCTCCTAATCTCAGCTCGTTACCTGTATAAAAGACACCTGGGAGCCAGAAATCTTTCTGATTGAGAGGGGGTCAAATACTTATTTCCCTCATTAAAATACAAATCAATTTATAACATTTTTGACATGCGTTTTTCTGGATTTTGTTGTTGTTATTCTGTCTCTCACTGTTCAAATAAACCTACCATTAAAATTATAGACTGATCATTTCTTTGTCAGTGGGCAAACGTACAAAATCAGCAGGGGATCAAATACTTTTTTCCCTCACTGTATCACTCTCTCGCCCCTCTCTCTTTATTTGTCTTCATCTCTCTCTCTTCTCCCAACTCCACCTCTCTCCTGCTTGTTGTTGTATCTCTCTCTCTTTGTGTTGACTAAGCTCTGCTAGTTTTAAAAAAAATTGATATTTAAAATTATTTAACCCCTTTTTCTCCCCAATTTCGTGGTATCCAATTGGTAGTTACAGTCTTGTCCAATCGCTGCAACTCCCGTACGGACTCGGGAGAGGCGAAGGTCGAGAGCCGTGCGCCCTCTGAAACACAACCCTGCCGAGCCGCACTGCTTCTTGACACAATGCCCGCTTAACCCGGAAGCCAGCCGCACCGATGTGTCGGAGGACGACACTGGGCCAATTGTGTGCCGCCCCATGGGTCTCCCAGTCGCGGTCGGCTAACGCTCTGCTACGTTTTCTCTTTCCAACCAGATCCCACTATTCTTCCTAATTCTTTCTCTCTTTTTGCCCTCATTCCCCCCTTCTCTCTATCTCTCCTGTGTTTTTTAACTCATCCACTCATAGTACTTTTCCTGCAGCTTTTTGTACGTCCTTCATTCTGTCCTTCCTCTTTGTTTCTACCTCTTCTTCTTTTTACATTTTTCTAGCTGATTCTCGTTCCTTCTGCTCTCGTCCTTGCTCCCTCCTCCTGCCCCCTCCAATTCTATATTCATTTATCTGTGCGCTGTTCAATGTCAAAGACTACAGGCTATTTTTAATTGTTTTTGTTGAGCAGGGAATAGCATTGGCCTTTTAGTGTTTCTACACTGAACAAAAATATAAACGCAGCATGTGAAGTGTTGGTCCCATGTTTCATGAGCTGAAATAAAAGATCCCAGAAATGTTCCATATGGACAAAAAGCGTATTTCTCTAAAATGTTGTGCACAAATTTGTTTACATCCCCGTTAGTGAGCATTTCTCCTTTGCCAAGATAATCCATCCACCTGACAGGTGTGGCATATCAAGAAGCTGATTAAACAGTATTATCATTACACAAGTGCACCTTGTGCTGGGAACAATAAAAGGCCACTTTAAAATGTGCAGTTTTGTCACACAACACAGTGCAACAGAGGTCTCAAGTTTTGAGGGAATGTGCAATTGGCATGCTGACTGCAGGAATGTCCACCAGAGCTGTTGCCAGAGAATTGAATGTTAATTTCTCTACCATATGCCGCCTCCAACGTCATTTTGGAGAATTTGGCTGTACTTCTAACCGGCCTCACAACCACAGACCACGTGTAACCACGCCAGCCCAGGACCTCCACATCCGGCTTCTTCACCTGCGGGATCGTTTGAGACCAGCCACCCGGAAAGCTGATGAAACTGTGGGTTTGTACAACCGAAGAATTTCAGCACAAACTGTCAGAAACCGTCTCAGGGAAGCTCATCTGCGTGCTTGTCGTTCTCGCCAGGGTCTTGACCTGACTGCAGTTCGGCGTCGCAACCGACTTCAGTGGGCAAATGCTCACCTTTGATAGCCACTGGCATGTTGGAGAAGTGTGCTCTTCACGGATGAATCCCGGTTTCAACTGTACCAGGCAGATGGCAGACAGTTTGTATGGTGTTGTGTGGGCGAGCGGTTTGCTTATGTCAACGTTGTGAACAGAGTGCCCCATGGTGGGCATAAGCTACGGACAATGAACCCAATTGCATTTTATCGATGGCAATTTGAATGCACAGAGATACCGTGACGAGATCCTGAAGCCCATTGTAGTGCCATTCATCCGGCTATCACATCATTTTGCAGCATGATAATGTACAGCCCCATGTCACAAAGATCTGTACACAATTCCTGGAAGCTGAAAATGTCCCAGTTCTTCCATGGCCAGCATACTCACCAGACATGTCACCCATTGAGCATGTTTGGGATGCTCTGGATCGACGTGTACGACAGCGTGTTCAAGTTCCCGCCAACATCCAGTAACTTTGCACTGAAGAGGAGTGGGACAACATTCCACAGGCCACAATCAACAGCCTAATCAACTCTATGCGAAGGAGATGTGTGCGCTGCATGAGGCAAATGGTGTTCACACCAGATACTGACTGGTTTTCTAATCCACGCCCCTACTTCAAAAAAAAAAAAAAAGGTATCTGTGACCAACAGATGCATATCTGTATTGCATGTGAAATCCATAGATTAGGTCCTAATGAATTTATTTCAAATTGACTGATTTCCTTATTGAACTGCAACTCAGTAAACTCTTTGAAATTGTTGCATGTTGCGTTTATATTTTTGTCAATGTATATCCTGCATGAGTGGGACCATTAACATGAATAGCTGCTCTTTCACCTAGTCGTACCACAGTCTACTGTATGAGTGTACACACATAGAAAGTTAATTATCATTTGTAAAATGTGTGTGTGTACGTGCGCGTGCATGCATGTCAGATATAGAGACAACCCTCTCGTAGCATGACGCACATGGGAGAGTACAATGTATATATTTGTTAATGACGTTACTATCCTGTATCTCCACTCAGAGAGGATTTACTGGGCGGTGCACCCCGAGGTCGGAGTTAAAGCCCAATACTGGCCAAATACGACCTTCACAAAGGTTACATACACATTGCACTAGGGAATCATTCATAAAATAGGAAGTGCCCATTTTAAAGCGTTTAAAACCAATATACAGCGCATTCGGAAAGTATTCAGACCCCTTAACTTTTTCCACATTTTGTTACGTTACTGCCTTATTCTAAAATTGATTAAATTGTATTTTTTCCCTCATCAATCTACGCACAATACCCCATAATGACAAAGCAAAAACAGGTTTTTAGACATTTTTGTACATGTATAAAAATAAAACGGAAATATGACATTTACATAAGTATTCAGACCCTTTACTCAGTACTTTGTTGAAGCACCTTTGGCAGCGATTACAGCCTCAAGTCTTCTTGGGTATGACGCTACAAGCTTGGCACACCTGTATTTGAGGAGTTTCTCCCATTCTTCTCTGCAGATCCTGTCAAGCTCTGTCAGGTTGGATGGGGAGCGTCGCTGCACAGCTATTTTCAGGTCTCTCCAGAGATGTTCGATTGGGTTCAAGTCCGGGCTCTGGCTGGCCCACTCAAGAACATTCAGAGACTTGTCCCAAAGCCACTCCTGCGTTGTCTTAGCTGTGTGCTTAGGGTCGTTGTCCTGTTGGAAGGTGAACCTTCACCCCAGTCTGAGGTCCTGAGCGCTCTGGAGCAGGTTTTCATCAAGGAAGGTTCTCCCATCTCCACAGAGGAACCATCGGGTTCTTGGTCACCTCCCTGACCAAGGCCCTTCTCCCCCGATTGCTCAGTTTGGCCAGGCGGCCAGCTCTAGGAATAGTCTTGGTGGTTCCAAACTTCTTACATTTAAGAATGATGGAGGCCACTGTGTCTTGGGGACCTTCAATTCTGTAGACATTATTTGGTACCCTTCCCCAGATCTGTGCCTCGACACAATCCTGTCTCGAAGCTCTACGGACAATTCCTTCGACCTCATGGCCTGGTTTTTGCTCTGACACGCACTGTCAACTGTGGGACCTTATATAGACAGGTGTGTGCCTTTCCAAATCATGTCCAATCAGTTGAATTTGCCACAGGTGGACTTCAATCAATTTGTAGAAACATCTCAAGGATGATAAATGGAAACAGGATGCACCCAAGCTCAATTTCGAGTCTCGTAGCGTCTGAATACTTTATTTTTAACACATTTGCAAAAAATTCAAACAACCTGTTTTTGCTTTGTCATTGTGGGGTATTGTGTGTAGATTGATGAGCAACATGTTTTATTTAATCAATTTTAGAATAAGGCTGTAATGTAACAATGTGGAGAAAGGGAAGGGGTCTGAATATTTTCCGATTGCACTGAATGGTCACTATGCCAGGGTTCTCCCCAAATAAGTGGGGCGCTGCTCCATCTTGTCGGCTTGGCTGCGCCACTATGTAAAGATTTCATACCAAATGAAACTGATATTTAGTAATGATAGGGTAACTATATTTGATCGCTAATGATGACATTGTTGTAACTTTGCGAAAGAGGCCGTTCATAAATTCAGAGCGTTATCACGCTCCTCAATTCATTCAGTGCATTTCAGTAGAAGGCTATCTTGACACAGACCACACTCAGGACGCACAGAGTGCACCCATAGTATGGTGTTGTCGAATCATACAAACTTAGTAACGACAGTCAAACAAAAGTCAAATGACCAAAGTTGCTAAACTTGCTAGATAACCTCCCTCAACTAATGACAGAATATCTCCTATATTTGGCAAAATCAAGTTGATGATTATAGAGAAGATGGCACATCAGCCCATGAGTAACGGGGAGATGAACACGACTCAGGATATGACCCAGATGCAGACACAGGAGACGGAAGATTCAATACACAGAGTCGTTTATTAAACCGCCGGTCGAGGACAGGTGGAGGTTCTTAACCAGGTCAGAGTCTGACAGGTACAGGGCGGCAGGCAGGCTCAGTGTCAGGGCAGGCAGAATGGTTTGGCAGGCGGGCTCAGGGTCAGGGCAGGCAGAATGGTATGGCAGGCGGGCTCAGGGTCAGGGCAGGCAGAATGGTATGGCATTCTGCAGGTATAAATGCACAGGGGAAAATGGGAGACACCTGGAGGGGGGTGGAGACAAGCACAAGACAGGTGAAACAGATCAGGGTGTGACAGAGATGAAGAGTGGAAATGGTTTAAGGCATCTTAATGGGGACCAAATCTGTTTAAAAAAACATCCATATCTACTCTCATACCGTTTTTTGATCACACATTCTCTACCGAAGCTCTCATGTGGGCAACAAGTAGGCCTCCGAGACAGCGCAGAGAAGCGGGGGAAATGTTATAGCGGCATTTTGACATGCATAGGCGAAAGAAGTGCTTTGATAATGCATTGCAGCCTATGGATTATAGAATAAAGTTAGTAATTGTCATGCGAGACAGGAGTCAGGATTTTGGGTTGAGTGGAATTAGGACTGGATAGTAAAATAGCCTAGGCTCTAGGACAGGAAAATATAGGATTTTTCCTCATGCATCTCTGAATTGTTAACAGATTTAATGTCTGTGACAGAGATACCTATGTAGTGAATTGTGCATAGGCCTATCAAATTTGTGACTGTCTGAAGTGTCACAATGACTGCTCAAAGAGGCACACGTTATTTTATAGGCTATACTTTATGGGTTTCCTGTAGGGTTTATTAAATGTGTTCGGTTCACGTGGGCAGTCCGTCGGTTTCAATAATACGTGTGCTTTGAATTTCTGGTGACTTTGTGTGAAGTAAATACACTATGCCTTCCATGTGACAACCTGTTTGGATAATGTGCTATTGCATTTTTTGCTATCTGCTGCTGCCTATGTTGTGTATTTTGTGGAATAGCATTAGTGCTTTGGGGGAAAATGTTGTAATTTCCCGGGTCTTGTCATTTTAAAAAAATCTGAAAATGTGAAGCGTTCCAGGGACAGTCCCAGGATTCCGGTTAGCCATGTTAATCCCTACAACAACATTATGGACTAAACATTAAAGTCTGTTTGCTGCAGGATTATTTTGCCTGGACAATATCGGTCAAATTAAGATCCTACATCTGTACTTGTGGAAGTGTGTTTAAACTCCTGCGTGTGTGTGTTTGCTTATCATTCCTGTCTTTGTATGTTCCAGTCAGTGGGTGCCAGTGACTACCTGGAGATGGCCCAGGCGTTTGACACAGTGTTTATCCGTCATGTCCCCATTCTTACCCTCACCCTGAAGGATCAGGCACGGCGCTTCATCACACTCATAGACAACTTCTATGACAACAAGGTCAGTGTCAGTCACACTGCATTGGGAAACCTTGATATTTTACATTTACATTTCTTGTCATTTAGCAGACGCTCTTATCCAGAGTGACTTACAGGAGCATTTAGGTTTAAGTGCCTTGCTCAAGGATCTTTCACCTAGTGGGCTCTGGGATTCGAACCAGCAACCTTTCAGTTACTGGCCCAACGCTCTTAACCACTAGGCTACCTGTGTTTGGTACTGCTGCCTAGGTGCTTCCCAATCTGTACCTGTTTGTAACTCAAGTATTTGACATACTGCCATGGTCCGTAGCTGCAGGGTCTATACTGTACTGTTTGTTGTAGGCGTTTATTATGTGCAATAGCATCCCCTGTATCCATCTATCCACACTCTATCCTACAGCAGGTGTCACTGTTTCACTTTAGTTGTTACAGTGTTGTTACCGTTCCATTGTCCATCTGTCCAAGGTGAGGGTGGTGCTGTTAGCTGATGCCCCTCTGGACAGGCTGTTTGTCCACTCTGGTGGGGAGGACAGCCGCGACCGCCTGCTACTGGACGACCTGGGCCTGAGCGGGGTGAGACCACACGGTCCAACCATAACAAGACCAAAACATAACCAAAAACACATTCCTTGATGTCGGGTTGAAACCAAAATTATTTTCAAATTATTTCGTTCTGAACAGAACCATAATTTTTAGTATCGTTCCACTGTTCTGACCAGCAAAATAAAGTTCTGAACCGGTTCGAACCCCCAAAAAAGTAAGTTTATATTGTTCCTTTCTGTTCCTTTTTAAACCGCTGAAATCGTTTGTATTTTATATGCAGCCCAACATTCAATTACTTCACCAATCAGTGCGGATAGAGCAGTTTGCTATGGAACGGGCAAGCTATAGGCCTAGTTGTTTCCATGCATTGGACAGACGAGTATGGCGTGAGATGCAACTGAAATTTTGCAGGTGAGGAGAGAGAATTAGGTCCCACAGAATTATACCTACGGAGGAGCGGCTTCTATGAAGGAACTTTGAATGTCTTTGAACTTCCAAGAGTTGGCTTAACGTTGGACCAGAGCTAGCAGCTAACAAGCTTGTGTGTGCAGAGCAGCACCAGAATCAAAGTAAAAAACACATCTTAGCTTTTTGCAGTTAATAAATAAATCCAATGTGAAACGTACTATAGTATCCTTAACTAGCATTGAAAAAGTTCATCCATTATTCTCTAATTAGAAATCTCTCTCCCTAATTTCTGAATCATGCTTGTAACGTCAGTAGGCTACAGTAGCCTATGCTTCGGAGGGGGAGGAGCAGGTAGCCTACACACACACACTGGCAAAGACTTTCAGCTGTCAGGCCAGGCAGATGCTGGAAGAAGTTTCTGAGTGACAGAGTGAGGGCTTTGCATAGGCGTTTTGTTGAATTTTTTTTTTTTAATCCCGGAACGTAAAATAACTATTAACCGGTTTCCATGCTTTTAAAATAACTGTTCTGTTTCGGAACAGTATAGATCACTTTCACTCCTTGTTCTGATTCTGTTCCTCTGAAAAAAAAAAAAAATCGGTTCCGTTTCCTGAACCAGTTCTAACCCCTGCTTGATATAAACATTTGTGTTTGTGGTTTGTTAACCCCATTGTCTTGCTGCTGTGTTCGTGTTACATTCTCTTTGTGGTCATGTTTGTGTCGACCCCATTGTTTTTGGTTATGGTTGTAGTTGAGTTAACCCCACTGTCTGCGGTCCTGTTTGTAGGACGCGGGGGACCGTCTGTCTCTGTTCACAGCGGAGGAGGAGATCTTTGCGTTCCAGAGGACCGTCTCCAGACTGACCGAGATGCAGACGGAGATGTACTGGACCCAGGGGGACCGCAGTAACACTACACACACACAGAGAGGATCACAGTAAAGTAACCCCAAAGACCTCACAACACATAGAGGGGACACGTAACCAACAGCAACTTCTCTTTTAGGCTGAAGTACAATATAACCAGCCAAAATACCTCATAAAACACAAACAATTGGTACAGGAGGGATCAATAAATTGTATCCCTTTACTGGGTAGTATAACGTGACAAGCTAAAACACCTCCCAACAGACAGTCAGTCAGTCAGGGAGATGAGAGCTAACCATAGAGATAGAGGACTTTATTTTTAGTGCCCAAAAGGCCATTTTAGCATGGGCAGCGCCATTGAGGACTTTCACCGTTTTGAAGTAGTCAACTGGGTAGAGCTTCCTATGGATTAGGGAAGGATCACATAATTCCATCCAGGTCACCAGGAGGGATCAGTCCCCGTGAGGAAACATTTCATAACTGCAGGTGGCAGTAAATCACCAACCTTGGATTTATACCTGTTCAAACAACACACTCTAGGTGGCAGTGTGCACCCTTTCAGTTTGTTTTCCAACTCAATAGAAGTATTAGAACAAGAAAATTGACTACTTCAAAATGGAGATGGCCTCAATGGCGTCACAGATGCCATAATGGGACATACAATGATGCGATGTCTATGTAAGTCTATGGAGCTAACCGATAAACACTCCAACTTTACTGACCTATCTCCCTCACGTAAAGGGAACTGACGGGAACAAGAGAAACTCATTCAAGCCCCAATATTAGTCTTACTAAAACATACATGGAGAACAGAGGGAGGTATAGCTACTTAGCTAAGCAGAGCAGGATAAGGGACGACACATCATCAGTAAGAGCTGAAGGGATGGAAATATGAACTGAACAAATGTCCTTCTCGGTGGATAACTACCGCCCCCTATGGTTGGTTTTGAACTGTGCCACTGAATAATAAACAATGATTTGCTGTACATGTAATTACGAAATGTATAGATGAAGGAATTAATAGCACTGAGTATACTTGAGGGATTGGACCAGATGTATTTGTTGACTTGTGCAATGTGTGTGCTGATACTGTATGTAGCCAGCCATCTGCCCTGTAAAAATGCAAAATGTAATGTATTTGTGCCTACTGTTTAATAAACCATGCAGTAGAATCTAAAGGTGAAAAGTAAAGTGTCTTGTGCCTTTTTAGGGATGAAACTGCAAAGGCAAAACATTAATTACTACTTAACTATTTGTCTTAGCAAATGTTGGATGATTTAAAAAAGTAAAAGCTGCACACTAGTAGCTCCGACAGTGTTGTATTTGAGACCACCTAAAGCGAGACCGATTCAATGCCGAAACAAAGCGAGTCTGAGTCAAGACCAAGACCGGAGGGGGGGCGAGACCAAGTCGAGACCGGGAGGGGGACAAGGGGTCAGAGACCGAGTCAAGCCCGAGACCAGAAAAATGCGAGTCCAATTCAAGACCATGATTGTAATTTTGTCAAATCACCACCATAATGAGTTCAAAATGTCCAGTATTTCTGTGTTCATATTTCAGAACAAGATATGAATTCTTTAGACATTCAGAATTGTGAAAAAATGCATGCTGAGGGAAAACACTCTACAAATTATTACTATCCCAAACACAGTGGGGAACAGTGGGCCTTCTACGCCTTAGTCTCCCGAGTGGCGCAGTGGTCTAAGGCACTGCATCGCAGTGCTAGCTGTGCCACTAGAGATCCTGGTTCGAATCCAGGCTCTGCTGTAGCCGGCCGCAACCGGGAGACCAATTGGGCGGCGCACAATTGGCCCAGCGTCGTCCAGGGTAGGGGAGGGAATGGCCGGCAGGGAGGTAGCTCAGTTGGTAGAGCATGGCGTTTGCAACGCCAGGGTTGTGGGTTCGTTTCCCACGGGGGGCTAGTATGAAAATAAAAAAGAATAATGTATGCACTAACTGTAAGTCGCTCTGGATAAGAGCGTCTGCTAAATGACGTAAATGTAAAATGTTCAGTGAAGGGCTAAGGATTTATAAAATAATGATTATAATAGTATAACAATGATAATTATATTATTATTTTCAATTATGTTCTGATTTAATCTCTTCAATTTTTGTTGGAAAAGAAAGGGTTAACACTGGAGAGTATGAAAAAAAAAAAACGAAGTCGCTCTGGATAAGAGCATCTGCTAACTGACTAAAATGTAAATGAGAGAAAAAAAGATCCAATCAGGATTTTTCTTTGCTGGTCTAGCTAGCTAAGTCAGCCATTGGCTAGGTCATCAGAAGCTAGATAAAGACATCTGCCATTTAACTGTATTAGGGCAAAATGTTGGAGTGACAGTGGAATCAACCAATCACGTTTTGACTTAATGGGTGGGACTGTTTTTTCGAAAACATATGGAATCTTCTGCTTTCTTGAAGGCCAACAGGTCACTGTGCAATGGCGAGAAGTGGTCTAGCTAGCTAGCTTTTGTTGGCTAGTTTGCAGCGGCTGCAGCAGGTGTTATCAAAGAGGATGTTGTTGCTGATTTGTTAGCTTATCTCTTTTCAAGAATAACTTGCAACAAGAAGTTAAGTTTCAAATGATCATCATCTGGTGAGTGGAACTGTGTTTTTTATTGCAGCACGCTTGCTGTTAGCAGTCTCTTTTGAAAATAACTTGTGTGTGAAACATTGTTGCATTTAAAGTGGATCTGACAGCATTTTAGCAACATGAAATCCCCCAGGAAGAATATGTCACTTTAAAACAAAAATTCTGACAAGCAACCACTTTTAGATATGGTCATTTTCACGTTTTCATAAATTCTTAATGTTTGGGAATTACGGATACTAATTCTATAGCAATATATAGTGGGAAAGCGGCCATGCGTTTGGACAATTAATAGACACTGCAGTAAATAAAACCAAATAAAAACATCTGTCTTGTCCAGGACCGGAGACTACACCGACCGGTGCGCTATAGCAAATCAGAGCTACAGTAGGCCTTTATACAAACAAGTAATTTGCAACACGGGCAGCCATCATTCACTTTGAACCTTACTGTGTGTTTACAGGCAGTTGCAACAGCGCAACTTTAAAACATTAGAACGCATTCGCCAAAAGCCACAAAGTACACCTGAATGAATTTCTGCAAATATGTAAACACCACGGGAGTCCTCTTACATTCGGGAACTTTAGTCCTATTGATCAAACAACCGTGATAAGGTAGGCTTTCTCTCCCTCAGTTGTGCACATCAACAAGATCAACAACTAACACTAGCCAGAGCAAGATGAGCTAAAATCTAACGAAGGAACATTAGATAAACCCTCTCAAACTTTTTCAGCTAGTTGGCCATCAAAATTGCACTGATAAACGATAGGGAATTGTAGCCTCCTCGTCCTTCTGCAGCTTGCCTGCCAATGCATGCTTATCTCAACCAAGCACCTAATCTAACTGGCTAGAGTTGTCTAACTTGCTAGTTACCACTTCCAGACACAAATGGGAGAACACCTCACTCTGACCATTTTACTAGCCGTAGCAGTGCTGGTTAGGCTGTTTACATGTTGTCTAGAGCGTTCTTGACAAACTATTACTTTTTTTGCCTACGTTTACTGACACCGGTCATATTCAGCGGGTGTTGCATGTTCGTAAATTCATCAGTTGTTCTGCGCTCTGGCACACTCAGACGAGAGTGCTCTGAAATTGGAGTAGATAGCCAGAGTGAATTTTGCGAACGCAGGAGATATGCTAACTGGATAACAGTAGTTCAAGTTCTTGCTAACTAACCAAATACACCTGCATCTGCAGCTGAGTATAGCCACGGAAAAGCGATATGAGGGGGGAAAAGTCAGTCACTCACCCACTCCTCCAATGGCATGACATGACATTATCTAGCTAACGTTAGGCTCCGTGTTTTTAGCTTGCTACATACAGTTGAAGTCGGAAGTTTACATACACCAAATACATTTAAACTCAGTTTTTCACAATTCCTGACATTTAATCCTAGTACAAAATCCCGGTCTTAGGTCAGTTAGGATCACCACTTTATTTTAAGAATGTGAAATGTCAGAATAATAGTAGAGAGAATGATTTATTTCAGCTTTTATTTCTTTCATCACATTCCCAATGGGTCAGAAGTTTACATACACTCAATTAGTATTTGGTAGCATTGCCTTTAAATTGTTTAACTTGGGTCAAACGTTTCAGGTAGCCTTCCACAAGCTTCCCACAATAAACTGGATGAATTTTGGCCCATTCCTCCTGACAGAGCTGGTGTAACTGAGTCAGGTTTCTAGGCCTCCTTGCTCGCACACTCTTTTTCAGTTCTGCCAACACATTTTCTATAGGATTGAGGTCAGGGCTTTGTGATGGCCACTCCAATACCTTGACTTTGTCCTTAAGCCATTTTGCCACAACTTTGGAAGTATGCTTGGGGTCATTGTCCATTTGGAAGACCCATTTGCGACCAAGCTTTAACTTCCTGACTGATGTCTTGAGATGTTGCTTCAATATATCCACATTTTGAGAAGTGCACCACTCCTGCAGCAAAGCACCCCCACAGCATGATGCTGCCACCCCTGTGCTTCACGGTTGGGATGGTGGTCTTCGGCTTGCAAGAACCCCCTTTTTCCTCCAAACATAACGATGGTCATTATGGCCAAACAGTTCTATTTTTGTTTCATCAGACCAGAGGACATTTCTCCTAAAAGTCCGATCTTTGTCCCCATGTGCAGTTGAAAACCGTATTCTGGCTTTTTTATGCCGGTTTTGGAGCAGTGGCTTCTTCCTTGCTGAGCAGCCTTTCAGGTTATGTCGATATAGGACTCGTTCTACTGTGGATATACAGTATCTCACAAAAGTGAGTATACCCCTCACATTTTTGTAAATATTTGATTATATCTTTTCATGTGACAACACTGGAGAAATGACACTTTGCTACAATGTAAAGTAGTGAGTGTACAGCTTGTATAACAGTCTAAACCACTGGCAACAAAAGTGAGTACACCCCTATGTGAAAATGTCCAAATTGGTCCCAATTAGCCATTTTCCCTCCCCAGTGTCATGTGACTCGTTAGTGTTACAAGGTCTCAGGTGTGAATGAGGAGCAGGTGTGTTAAATTTGGTGTCATCGCTCTCACACTCCCTCATACTGGTCACTGGAAGTTCAACATGGCACCTCATGGCAAAGAACTCTCTGAGGATCTGAAAAAAATAAGTGTTGCTCTACATAAAGATGGCCTGGGCTATAAGAAGATTGCCAAGACCCTGAAACTGAGCTGCAGCACGGTGGCCAAGACCATACAGCGGTTTAACAGGACAGGTTCCACTCAGAACAGGCCTCGCCATGGTCGACCAAAGAAGTTGAGTGCACGTGCTCAGCGTCATATCCAGAGG